AAAATAAAGATAGTCACGCATACTATATTATAGAAAGTAGTCGAGAAATCTTTTCTTATTTTTTTAAGTTTATTTTCTTAGTATTGATTTCTCCCCTCAGGTGATGTCCCCATAGTTCTCCCACCGCAGAACCTGTCACCCATCTCCCCTGTCGATGATGCTCCTCCCTCCCCTGCCCTGACCCCTGCCTCTGCCCTGCTGTGCACCTCAGATCGATGGTCAGCTTGCAAGTTTGGCCCTTTGTTCTATTTTCTATATTCCACATTTAAGTGAAGCCATTCCATGTTTACATTTTCCAAGAAGGTAATGGAAAAGCCTTAGTGCTTCAACAGTATGACACAAGGAGCAGGAGAGCACTTGGTGGGCAGGGATGGGATGGCAAGGAGCGGTTCGCAGGCAGGGACAATGCACGATCTCTGAACCAAACTCATATTTTCCTAAGCCTGGCGAGCATGAGTGAGGTTTTGCTTCCTTCAGTTGGTAAAATGTTTGATAGATTTGTTGAAGAGGCATCAAACCAAGGATTATTAACCTGAGGTCTTTCAGTCTCTGAAATGTTCTTGGACAGAATTCAAGAGATCCATGAATAGAAATGGTAAAAAAGAAAAGAAAATATACCTTTATTCTTACAACTTTTAAGAAAAATTATCAGTTTGAACAAATATGATCACAAGCTATAAATACAACATTATGGTTAAATTAATATTTTGCTCCTTACTGTTTTACCCCTGGGTCTAAAGAAGCACATATATTACTATATTTCACATTTTCTTAAGTACTATGATAACTACATCTCAACATAATTGGCTTCCTTGGTAATACTGTGCATTCTGTTTGTGCATTTATAAACACACTGCTGAAAAAGCAGCGCTCCTGCCCGCACTAAGAGATCTCTATTACTTTCTTGAAAAATGTAAATACTGGATGGTTTCACTTAAATGTAGAATTTTGAGAATACGAACAAAGGGCAAAACTTTGCAGGTGCCTCTTCTTTTCCTAATAAACCTTTACATTTAAAATACAAAATAAAATAAATAAAAATGCACTGCTGAGAAAACAGACTGCCCAAGGGATTGAGAACCTCTGCAAACTCTGTCAGGAGCCTGATTGGGAAGAACAGTTTCCTTCAAGTTGTTCTTTGCCAGGGGAGCCTGCAAAATTGCCTAGGAACAGACAGAACCACATTCACAAGGTCCTAGGCACTTGACTTTTGGAGAGATTAATAATAATCGGGACTCTACTTTCTAACTTGCTAAGAGTCCTGGGGAGTGATTGATGGTGTGGGGCTGTCACTGGCGGGCATTTCAGGGGAAATGATGCCATCTGGTGGCAGGTGGTACTTGTCTGCTTCACGCGTCTCTATTCCTCCCATAGAGATCGGAATAGTCACAGGCAACATACATTGGCATTTGGGGGTCAGAGCAAAGCCTAGACCTTCTCTTCCCAGTGCAAGTGTTCAGTCTTACCAGTTCCCAGTTTTACAGATTCAAGGCATAATAATACTCCTGCAAAGTTCTGCAGAAACAAATTTGATGTCTCCTCTTTAGAATTCTTTGGCAGTGTTTGATTCCACTTCTCACGAAGCTGCAATAACATGTAGGTCTCTCTCATCTCAGCAATGTATTTTCACTGTGGTAGTGCCTGGAGCATTTCAGATGAGAGGTGCAGAGATATGAGGGTCTGGGAGGAAGTCATTGCAGATTGTCTGGAGGCTTCAGGTGGTGTTGATCTTAAAGACTGTGTTTCTGACATACCATGGATTTATTTCCACATCTCCATCAACTCGTCCTTGAATCCTCTGCTCTAATGCTAGCTCCTTCTCTGGGCTCTGCTACTTCTCCCTGCCTCCCCAACTACTTCTCACCCCCACTTTGCCCCATTTTAGATCTCAGATTCTCCCACCAACTTCCTAATTAATCTCCCTTACTCAGTATTGCTCCTGCACCCCACTTTCACAACTCATTCTCACCATGGCAGACAGTAATTATAATGTTCTACAATCAAGCCTCCAGATAATTCTCATATGTAATCTCCCACTACACTCACCCTCACCAATTCTTGTCCCCCAACTTGTCCTTGGCAAGTTAGGGATGCCTCTACCTCAGGACACTTGCTCTTGTTGTTCCTTTGCCTAAACTAATGTTCCTCCAGACACTAACAGGGTGTCATACTCTCACTTCTTCACAGGGCCAGAGACCTGTGGTCCCTCATTTTTTCTCCATATGCTTGTAACCATCTAACATTCCACATGCTTATTAATAAATCTTTCATTTTCCTCCTGCTGCTAGGACATGGTCTCTATGAGAGTAGTGATTATTATGGCTTCATTTATTGGGTAGCCCAGTGTCTGAAAGGACACTGGTCCCAGAGCAGAAAACCCAATGGATGTTGGATGAATCATATTCTCTGCCATCAGGACATCACACTACCAGGTGGGTGGACTTTCTCTCCAGTGACACCTGCAACAAAATCTGCAACCTAGCCTCACTCCAGGCTTTTCTGTTCCTTAGCAGTGTTCTGAGGTATAGCAGCTTTCCTTAATGACCTTATAGCAAGCCTTGAAAAGTAGAATGACATAATAGCAAGCCAAAACTACTTTTCACATCAAATTTGAATCAAACTTTAGATGCAAAAAATCACTAAATTATATCACATTTGACTTTTTTCATGGGGGCTTTTAAAAATTATCAACACTGACCCCTCTGCTAAACATTTCTAACTCCATTAGTTGAATTAGAATTCAGGCATTCCCTGAAGAAGAGAGTACCTCTTGTTCTTCAAAGCAGATTGAAATGCAGTGATGAGATTGAATTAATGCCTCAGTAAATTACTCTTCCATGCTACTTTTGACTTTCAGACATCTGTAAATTACTCAAAAGCTCCTACTTGAAATATTTGACAAACTGTTAGATTATATTTATCTTATTTGTTTACACTCCTAGGTGAATCTAATGTACCAGCGGGGTGAGAGACACTAGTTCAGTGCCTTGCAACTGGCCAAAACCTTGGATTTGTTGCATTTGCTTCTCACGAGTCCAGGTGACTGGTGAGATTTCAGGTGCATTTGTCCCACATATAGGAGCTGGGGAACTAAATCCAGCTCACACCTCACATGCAGGGCTCATTCCCAGTGGGGCAGAATGGATGTCACTTCACACTGGGATTGTTCAGCCACATCTGACAACTTCATTGCACTTTGATCATGTATTTCTGACTGCATTTCACTGTGTGTCTTTTCCATCACTGCAGAACTTAAAAGCAGAAACTAGGCTGCCGTCTGTCCTCCCATCTAGCCCCATCCTCACCCCAAGTTACTTGTTGAGTAAATGAATGGCTGAACAAGTGAGTACAGTCTTGTCGTTAGCCCGTTTGCTTTCTTGTTCTCAGCAACTTCATTGTGAGTTCGGGCTTTCTTGTCCTTCTTCAGTGGCTACACTGCCCAGTGAATATTATACTCAAGTGCCCAAATGATCACTTTTTCCGAGGTCAGGGGAGCTGCCAGGACCCTTTTTATCCATAACACAACCCTTTTGCCCATTATATTTCTGCACTGATATACTGACTTAATCACTGGCTCAAAGAACTCGAATTTATAACTGCTCAGTAATTCCCAAACAGCAGGCTTGTCACAAGTAGGTCTCTGTGGAATAATTCTCTACCCTAGGAGGCCAGAATGGAAGGAGAAGGGAAGGATGATATTCATTAAAATGTTTTTCACCATCAGCTTTTTTCCAGATGAATCTAATGGCTCCCCACAAACTGGAAAAGTCCTCCCAACTCCTGGCAACGATGTCATAGCCACATTACCGAGTCTGTGAATGGAGCCTGTGGACCCGGGTTCTCAGCCCCATTGATATTTGGGGTTGGATGGTTAGAGGAGAAAAGAGACTGTCCTGAGCACTGGAGGATTGAAGCAGCCCTCCAGCTTTGCCCACTACATGCCAGTAAGCTCAGGACCTCCTGACGGCAGTTAATTTTCTGTCAACATGGCTGGGCTACAATGCCTGGCTACGTTGTCTAATATTATTCTGGACATTTCTGTGAGGGTGATTTGGGATCAGATTAAGATTTAAATGGGTGGACTTTGAGTAAAGCTAATTGCTGTCCATCCTGTGGATGGGGCTCAGTTGAAAACCTGAATAAAAGACTGATCTCCCAAAGCAAGAGTGCATTCGGCCAGCAGATGGCCTTTGCACTTGGTCTGCTCCATCAGCTCTTCCCCAGGTCTCCAACCTCGTGGACTTTTGACTTCAACAGCAGATGTTGGACTTTTGGGACTCTTGTAATTGCGGGAGCCAGTTCTTTGAAACCGAGCTCTCTATGTGTATAGGTTTACATATATATCCTATTGATTTGTTTCTCTGAGAACCTGGATTAATACACCCCCAGCAGTAACAAACACAGGACTTCTGTAGGTGTTGCTAGGTGATGGTGTGGGGTCAGGGAGGCAGGGCAAGGCATCTCAGCTGCGTGTCAGTGCTGTGGACAAATGAAGCTGAGGTGCTCTCAGGGGTGTTCCCCAAGGACCTGAACCTGGTAAGAATAGCCCAAAACCTAGTGGAACTAAAATATCTCCTGGAGATGTTGTAGTTCTCTTGGGGCTTGTCCCAATCTGACCTCTCAGTGGAGGTCCTAAGGTACCCCTCAACTTCTTAAGCTAAAACTAATGAGATTTACTTTTGAAACTCAAATGTCTGTCATGTAGAAGAAAATATATCCTATATACCTGAGTTTTATTTCAAAGAGAAATGAAGGTGAGTCACCCTTGCATCTAATCCTTGCAAACTCTCTCATTTTTGAGAGTTCTTTTTTTTTTTTTAAGATTTATTTATTTATTCATATAGAACTGGGGTACAGGCCAGAGATGCGGAGGGTGAGAGGATTCACCAGAGACAGAGCGGGAGCAGATCAGGCAGATAAAGCACACTGCTGAGGGGAGCGGTGGGCGGGTGAGGAGAGGTCTGCCATGCCATGTGGATCTCCTCCGGGGCAGGCGGGGATTGAACTCATGCTGAAGTGGCTTAAGCTTCTTAGTGCTGTGCTTTAACCCGCTGCGCCACCAGAGAGGTTCCAAGAGTTCTCTCTTAATTAGCTGAAAAGACCACATTGGAGAAGATGAGCCCAAAACTAGCTCCGGCAATGCAGATTTGGGATGTTTATAGAGGACACCTAAATCAGATTTGAAAAAAGAGAAGCAACAAAAAATATTATTACAACGCAGCCATTATTCCTGAGTTGTAATCTTTAGCATTCTAAGTTCCTTCTTATATTAAAATAGTATCAGTCACTCCAAAAGTGCCTCTTCTGATGACAAGGATACATCCATCAAAAATGAATATGAATATGAAAAATGAGAGTAAGAACAAAATTCCTAAATTTATATATTATTTTAAATGTGACTTTAAATAGGTACATGTTGCTAAATAAATACTATAAGATGTTGGCTAATTCCTGTATCTGTAAAAGTTTAATGGAGTGAGTTAACCCAAAGGCACTGTTGGGATTCTCTTATTGAGAGAAAGGTGCACATATATGCAAGCATGTATAAAATTTGCTATGGCAAGAGAGTCCACAATCCTCTTTCTTCTCCAGCTTCTTCCTCTACCTTTCTGCTCTTTGCCTTTTTCTCCAGTTCCCTTTCCCATTCTTCTTATCCTCTCTTCTGTTCTTCTGTTTTATTCTCTTTCTGGTTCTTCTTATTCTTTCATTCTCCTTGTTCAATTCAAATATGTGCCATTTAAAGTTAGGTGACCATGGCTGTATTCCCACACATTCCATGACAACCCCCCCCCCGACACTCCCACCCCTCAGATCCTACCTTGACTTCATGTCTCATCTGCTGCTGCCTTATAACGCCTGCAGGGATTCCATCTTTATTCTTTAGCTCCATTCTTCCAGAGGCCTGGTTTTTCTTATTCTTTTAGTCTTTTTTCTTCAGGGGTGATGGGGGGACATTCAGGAGAAAAGGAGATAAATGCCTCTTACTCTTTTAATTAGTTATCAGAAAGATTAGAATTAATGTCTTAGTAAATGATTCTTTCATATTTCTATTTTGAGTGAGTTTTCTCAAGAGCTTCTGTGTGAAATATTTGAAGAAACCGTTAGATTGTACTTACCTCATTTTTATCTCCGCTATCCCTAGGTAATGTTTCTTGATTTACTAATGTAAATCTTTAGCCTTTTGTTCCACGGAAAAGACTTTGGGGTTCCTTGGCAAGGCTGTGGGTCAAAGCCTTACTCTGGCCCCTTCCAACGCACTCCTTCCACCTCATAGACAGTGAGAGTCTCTCCCAGCTCCCCCCTTCCCTTTTCTTTTTACCTTTCACAGGCTAGCCCCACACAAACCTCTTACAGTTCTCTCTTTGGTTTAGCTTCACAGAAAACTGAAAGTAACACAACTGGTACCAGAAGTGGTGCATGAAAGTTGGCTTTAAGACTTGTTCTTAGGACTGGGTCATTCATCATAAATGGCTAAGGAGGGTCCTAACCCAAAGGGTTCATGGGGCACAGCTAGTTCCTAGTGCAGTATATTTGCCCAACTAGTGAAAAATCACCACTGCTGTCCAGAGGACATCTGGTAGAGAGAGTGCTCTCGCCACAGCTGAGGCATGTGAAAGTCGCGGGGACAGTGCATATAGGAACGGAGAAGTTTGAGGGCTCCTTGTAAAGTGACAGTGAGAATTACAAGCAGTTAGAAACCTAAATGCCAGTGGAAAAGCCTCTGGCCTCTCTGGTGCTTATAAAAGTCTCCTGTCTTCTGCAGAGGAAGCGGCCAACATGAAGAGAATGTGCAAGATTTCAGAGTTTTACATGCCTAGAACCTGAAATACTCCACCATAGTCATCTGTTAGGCTGAAGCCAGTGACCCCATGGAAATTTTTAGAGCCCAAAATACAAGATATGGGCATGCGAAGGTGTCCCCCAAAGACTGGCTGCACCAGGTGCCCCGAGGATGCAGATTGCACAGAGTGACCCATGCTTATTCAGAGCTAGGCTTCCCTTGGTGCAGGAATACACTGCACAGCCTCCCTGCCGGACTGCTCCTGCTCCCACTGTTGCCCTCCACCCTCAGGAGCGCCCCACACTTCTCTCCTAGCTGCCAGGCCAAAGACTGAGGTTAATCCAGCATAACTCCATTGGAGATGTGCTGGGCCTGGTGAGGGAAAAGACACTACACCCAAAGGACACACAAGAATTTGCAAGCGTAGTCTGTTGGGAGCAGGAGAGCACCCAGGGACTGGATTATGGGGGTGTTTAAGCAAGTGCTGGGAGATAACAGGGAGCAAACAAGAAAACACTGATTTTGGATCACAATCTGGGATGTCAGTTTAAACTCCCTGGAGAGGATCAAGGGAGCTAGAAAAAAGACATTGCTATGTGGCTTTCTGAAACCTCGAGAGTACAGGTGAAATATCGTGTTACCTCAGCAGATGGCAAGATAGAACAAGCAGAAGGAAAAGAGGATCAGTTTGCAGTCCTTGGAATGAACAATAATATTCATTTACAGTTTTGCTCCAGGGCTATGTTAGCTCGCCCACCTTCCATCTTAATATAGTCCGAAGAGATCTGGACCATCTGGACATCCCACAGAACATCACATTGATCCATTACATCAATAAAATAACGGCATGTGTAATGTGCTAGAGACCTTGGTAAGAAACATGTGTTCCAGAAAACGGAAGACAAACTATGAAGATTCAAGGACAGGCCACTTGAGTAAAGCTTTCAAGAATCCTAAAAGCGGATGAACAGAAAAAAAGTGTCCCTTTTTAGGTGAGGAGCATGCCAGGACATCCCCCAAAGAAAAATTACATGGCTGCATCTTGTATTCCCTTTGACAAAGAAGGGAGTGCAATATTTGGTGGGCCGCTCTACATTCTGGAGGTAGCACATTCCACATCCAGGACTCTTGCTCTGGTCCGACACCAGGACAGGCAAGGCTGCCAGCTATAAGTGGGGCCTGCGTTAGGAGAGACTTGACAGCAGCTCCTGGCCTTGTTGAAAGCCGCTGTGCCCACTTGGGTAAGACTGTCTTGCAGACCCTGTGGTGAGGGTAGTATCAGATGTGAAAACAAAAGGCATGGAGAGTTCATGGTAGGCCCCAGAAGGGGGGGGTTCCTAAAGCAGTATTTTGGGGCTCTGGAGCAAGATAATGCCATCTGTAGTGGTAATATTATGCTTCTCAAGAGCTGTTTCCTTGCTCTGTACCCTGATAGAGCTAGAATCATTTACAAGGTACCAATGGCCATGTATCATTACTGCTCATTAGCAGCTGAGTCCTGCCTCACAAGTCAGATATGCCTAGGAACGATTCATTCTAGGAAGGAAATGGCACATCAGGGATTAAAGATCTCACAGCAGGAGTTAGCTGCATGAACACGCTCCTGTCACCCCCATTGTTGCAGTAGCCCCCCTTCCTCAGCTCTTACCTATTACCCAAATGCAGGTGGCCATACAGACAGAGGAAGGAGTAAAAGGCCCAGGCATAGTGTGTGGATGAGCTCACTTGGCTTGTCAGCTCAGAGTAAAACTGGACAGCAGAAGATAGCCTCATGTGGGCTGCACTTTACAAGAGGAGAGCTTCACACGTGGCCACTCACTGCATGTGGGAGAAGTGGCCTAAGGTGAGAACATATAGAGAGTCCCATTCACTGGTCAATAGCCCAGCAGAAGCCTGGAAGGAAAGGACAACAGAAGCTAAGCCGGCCCAGGATAAACATGCATGGGTGGACTTACGGGTGTGAACACAAAACATGAGCATTTTCATACACTAATACCTATTTGAAAATACCCACCATGAATGCTGAACCAAGTAGACAAAATTATTCAACCAGTGGACATTAGTTTTTATCTTGGACGCTTTAGAGTCTGCATGAAGGACATATTAGTGGAGAGGCCATGATGGCAGGTGGAGGCGCCATATGGAACCAGCAGCTGCACAAGGTAACCACTTCCTTTGAATGTAAAATCTGATGGCAATAGAAACTAATGCTAAGTTCCTTTTGGTACTACTTTCCAAAGAACCAGGTCATGGTTGATGTATGTTGACACCATTGGGTTCCTTTCAGTCTGGAAAGGCCAGCAGTTTCTCTGCATAAGGACAAAGTCCTAGTCGGCCTGTCCTGTCCACGAAGCCTCAGCCAGCTTATGGAGTGCCAGATTTAGGGACACAGAATCCTACATAACACAGTATCTGAGCAGGGGGCACACATCCCGGCAAGGGAGCTGCAGGAGTGGTCATGCCATTCTCAAGCCATGGCACATACTGCCCTGTGCAGAGGGCCTTGTTGCCATGGCCTGCTGAAGGCACAGAGGAGGCACCAGATCAGAGGCAATAATCTGCACAAATGAGGTACTAGTCTCCAGATTGCTGACAAAATAAACCTCAATGAGATAAATCTCAATACAGTGCTGTAAGATACTTAGGTCTGAAAAACGAAGGGTAGAAGCAAGAATGGCTTTTAGCATCATCTTCAGTCCCCAAAGTGGGCTGTTTTATGAAGGAACAGAGTGAAAGTTCCAGTGAACTCTAGATGCCATCTAGACACTAGGGACTATTTTATCCAAGACTAACAGTGAGGAAAGGCACATCCTATTGCAGGTGTGATTTACGTTCAGCCATTGAAGCAGGCAGGGCTGCTTGCTTACAATGAAAATGAGGAGAAAGGCAGAGCCCAGGTCATCCACTTAGGGGTGTCCTTGGCCCCCACTGTAATGCAGAAAGAATTAGGTAGCCATCTTTGAAAGGTATGATTGCCAGGGTTTCAGGCCCCTTAGAAATGAAGGTCAAGTCACAGATAAGGCAGTAAGATTGGCCAAGTTAAAAGCTGAGGAGCAGGGCCCTCCCTGCTGGCGCAGCCAGTTAAAGCACAGCACTGAAAAGCTAAAGCCACTTCAGCACAAGTTCGATCTCTGCCTACCCCGGAGGTGACCCACATGGCCTGGCAGACCTTACCTGACCCACCCACTGCTTCCCTTAGCAGTGTGCTTCATCAGTCTGCCTGTTCTGCTTCCCACTCTGTCTCTGGTGAATCCTCTGACCTCCCCTGAACCTCTGGCCTGTACCCCAGCTCTGGATATATAAATAAATAAATCTTTAAAAAAAAAAGTGAGGAGGAAGTGGAAGGAGAATGGACAGGGTTGGGGGGAATAGTATGTATCTGGGGCAGTCTCCAGAAGACTATCCTTCATCCCAGGATTCTCCCTTCTGTAACTTCCCCTTTGGGAAAAGAGCTCCACAGAAACAGTGAAGGTGGAAAAGCCAGTCTGTGCTATGCCAGGGATGGACTCTGGTGGCCACAGGAATGCTGCACCCATCTCCTTTCAAGAGAGAACCTGCAGTGAGTGGTTTAGTTAGCTGACTTCTAGTCATCACATCTGAGACTCCAAACTGAGGCCATATTTTCCCTGGGTTGCTCCCAGCCAATGACTGAGCAAAGATGATCAGTTCATTCCTACCCAGTTTGGATTTCCTTTAATGGGCAGTCTTTAATGCTCTGAGTACCATGTAGGCCTGGCCAAGATTCCCCCAGGGCTGTATTACAATCTGAAGAACTTTCCATCACCTTCTCCTCCTGTCTCTCTCTTCACAGGTATCAGGGATTGTGAGCTGAGGCTCCTCCCACTTGCTCCTATTCCTACTCTTTGTCCTTCATAGGCATCTCCACAATAAATATCTTGGCCTTTTAATTCTATCTTGGAATCTGCTTCCCAAAGAATTCAAACTAACATAATGAGTTTATTCTAGGTGGTTAATCTGTTCTTCATCTTAAATGAAAAGGGTTGATTAGTAGAGCTAGGTCATCATTATAAGTCCTTGACTTAATGTGGAGGGTGAGAGGATTCACCAGGGACAGAGTGGGGAGCAGAACAGGCAGATCAACTAAGAACACTGCTGAGGGGAACAGCGGGTGGGTCAGGAGAGGTCTGCCATGCCATATGGATCTCCTCCAGGGCAGGCTGGGATTGAACTTATGCAGAAGTGGCTTAAGCTTCTCAGTGCTGTGCTTTAACCTGCTGTGCCACCAGAGAGGACCCTCTATAGTGTTTTAAAGTAAATGGGAAGAATAGTTAGAAAAGTATTACTAGTATGCTTGTTTATCAAGTCCTTATTGCTCATAAATCAAGGAAATGACAAGCCAAACCATTCACTGCTTTCAAAGGAAATACCTCTTATCAAGCATAAAAAGAAAATTTAATATAAAAGCTAAAAGCAAAACTGTTCATTGCTCTCAGCTAACACCTGATGCTTGAGTTTGTTTTACAAAACCCTAGCGTATGTAAGTGCTCGAAGTGATAATTCATGCACTTTCAATGATGTTAATTAACCTCTATTTTTATTTCTCCATCACATACTGACATGATCTTTCATTAAAGGTGGTACTTTATGCTCTAATGATATAAAATTTTATGTTGGTCATATGCAGTTTTTGCTGCTCCTTGGCATGGCACCAACGTAAGTAGATTAGGACAAGGGCAACTTTGTGTTTATGGAATCGCAATCAGAACATTAAGAATGTGCAATTAATGTTTAGACTAAATTAGTGCACTTTTTAGCAAATTTATGGTATTGAGAAACATAAGCCACCCTACTCAGAAAGAGTTCTTTTTTACTAAAGAAAAATGTGCTGGCAACTGCTCTGTTTCCATGGATTTCTGATACTAATAGGTCCCCAAAATAAAACCCAAGCTTTGCCAAAATCTTATTTATGCTTTATATCATTAACATGCCCTCTATCCCTATTTATATGCTTGGAAAAGAGAAGTAACGCTGATTAGTTTAAAATCCATTAATTAAAACTCTAAAGAACTAATTTGTGTGTTGGGGGTGAAGAGATGGGCGCTGAGACCTAATACACTTTATTTTTTATGACAAGGAGAAAAATTGCACAAAAATCATGAGGAATTAGGAAAAAAAGCAAACATTCTCCAGAATACATTTTAGAGTGTATAGTGCAAGTTTAAATTATTTTCAGTAAATAGTGAGAGTAAATCACTATAGGGGACCTCAAACAATTTACAGTTATGTGATAGTTATATCCACCACTGTCTAGAACATTCTATTTACATAAACAACTATACTATGTATTTAATTCTTTAACTGGGTCAGTACAAAAGGAGCAATAAGATTATGGGGTTTAATCCTCAGTTAACCAGAAAATCAAATCAGGAACTGAACTCCATCCCTGAAACAAGTGGCTCTTAATCTTAGCTGGATGTTGGAATGATCTGGGGAATTTTCCAAACGTTCAGTGCCTGAGTCCCACTTTAGACTAATAAAATCAGAATTACTGAGTTATTGTTGAATTCCACAGGTGACTCTGATGTGCGGTCAAGATTGAGGCCCCCCACTTCAACTATTTTAACTCTTAAACCCTTAAGCCCTATTACAAATTAAATCTCTACCACTGAATGAAAACATTTTGACACATGATCTTTAATTTTACCAGAGTACTGAAAAAAAGAGTAAAATCCAAATTCCTGGTTAACATTATGTCTGATTGTCTTCCAGTTCTGGGGGCAGTCGGGTGACACAGTTCTGGCCACTGAAATAGAAGGGGACCCTGCAAGGTCTTTTGAGATCAAAGGACAGATAATAAACTTCATCCCTTTCACTACTGTCTTCTTCCTGAACTCTGATGTAAATACTGAAAATGAGAAGTACATCTTTCAACTAGAAAGCAGCAAAGAAGTAAGTGATAAATACTGTATGAGCTCATTTATAGGTGAAATCTAAAACACTAATTCTTAGAAACAGAACAGATTAGTGGGTGGTAAGGGAGTAGGGAAATGAATAAATATAGTTGAAAATTACAAAATCAAAGACAAAAGCCAAAAAGTATGAGAAGGAACTTGGATCACTAATGACACTGTCAAGTCACAGGACTACAGCCACCATCTTCAGAGATTTTATTGTGTGAAGAAATGTATTGCCTAAGCCACTATTAGCTCTCCATTATTTGCAATTGAAAGTATTTCTAGAGGCCACATCTTGTTATGAATCAGTCAGCGTTTACTACTGGCTAGTAACTTTACAGGTATCCCTTTTGAGCCACAGCAACACCAAAAGATTAAGATTTTCCATTTTACAAATGCAAAAACTGAGACCCATACAAATGAACTGTCTTGTTTGTGGTTCTACAGACCTTATATTCTAAGCCAGAATTCAAAACCAATGATCTTTTCTTCCCTCTGATTAGTGTCTTACTTATTATGCTATAATTAGCTCTATTTCATTGTGGTAATACTGTTGCTCACCTCTTGGATGTGAGACAGTCTAGGTGCTCTGACTGAATTGAATGCTGTTATCATTTAGGAAGAGCATCTTATCTTTCTAGGAGTGCATATAATTTTTGACATTGGATTATTAGAAATTAGAAGACTGGACTTAGCTTGATTACCTGTAAAATTACAGGACAAGCCTCTTTTGTCACTATTCTGCAAAATCACAAGATATTTTCCATTCATTTCAAACAAAATACTCAAGTCAGTGCACTATTTTATGGCAGAGATTTAATAAATATTATTTTAAATATTTGTTATTATAAATATTATTTACAATAAACTAGGACTTGGCATGTGATCACTTTTTTCCTCCCTGGTGAAAGGCAAATAGTTCAGCTTTGATGAGCATATTTAAGGCAGCTACAGCTATGTGAATGTGATGTGTGGTGCTGTTTTCTGTGGAGTTGAATACAGATGTGTCCCTTCCAGGTGTTGTGCTATTTTGTAAAGATGTTGCTTTTGTTTAGCACCATACTATTTGCCCAATAGACATTGCTGAGGGACTTCCTGAAATTCCTGTTCTGTAGTCACTTCTGTAAGCATTGTCAGCCATGTTACAATAGAGTAAGCCTCACCCAATCAAAGCTATTGCACATTTCCTCTTTCTCGATAAAATCAGAGCTTAAACTGTTCTTATGAGACAGATGAAAGGCAAGCATACTTCTAATACTAAGGCAAGCAATAAGTACTTATCAGAATCTATATGAATAGTGAGATAGGTGCCTGGAAAGTAAAAATGGCCTCTGCCCTCAAAAAGCATCCAGTCTGGTGTATTTAAATGGTCTCAAACCTTAAAAAGCAAGAAACAACTAGCTGGAAGACAGTAAAACCTGAAGCATTACACACCTGACATTAATTCTGAATTCTTCGACTCTTCAGATTAATGAGTTGAGTGGTGACCCTTCAAAGGTTGTCCCTGTTCTAACCAGAACATGTGAAAATCTTATTTGGAAAAAGGTTATTAATGGGTGTAATTATCTTATCTCCAGATAAGATCACTGTGGAGGGCCCTAAACCCAGAAAGTGCCCTTATAACAGGCACAACACTGAAGGCCATGTGGAGGCAGAGGCAGCGGTTGAAGTTATGGCAGCAACAAGCCGAGGCATCACCAAATGTTGGAAAGCATAGGATTCTCTCTTGGAAGGTGCGCAACCTTGCCAACAATTTGATTGAGACGGCTAGACTCCAGAGCTGCTAGAGAATAAGTTTCTGTTAACTGACAACACCAAGTCTGGGTGTCAGTTTCTTCAACTGTAAAATGAGAATGACATTTTATAACTAGACTCACTTCAAGTGGAAAATGGGATTAGTACAGTCTGGACGAATGCGCAGACGTTAAAAATGTCAAATATTTACTGAGCACATTACGATCATTCACTGTGCCCAGCACCTTTCAAATATGATAGAGCTATCTCTACTATAGTGATCAGGTAACCAAGGCACAGATAAACTGAGTACTCTGTCCAAAATCACACAGCTAGCAAGCGGCAAAATCGGGATTAAAACTCAAAACTGACTCCGAAAGACCCCTTTTATACGCTACGCTAGTTTTCCAGAAAAGGTACAAATAAACCACTCAGTGCCGGATACATGATTAACAGCCTCCTATTAAACGCACCAGACAGTTCTCTGTTCTGAAACTAACCAGCCCTCGCGATAGTGTCGAGCTCTTCCCAGACCCCGAAGCGACAGGGTTAATTACGTCACTTTCTGGAGCCGCCAACGCGTCCTAGTCCGACGGATACTTCCAAGGGACAAATTTGCCTGTGGCTCAGCCCTCGCGCCTCCAGATGAGCTCAATAGAAGCGGACCAATAGAAATGCCGTATTTCCGTTCTCCCCTGCTAATTTCCCCCGCCCCCCCCCCTCATTTCTAGCCCAGCCGCGGAAAAGGAAAAATTGTACCCAGGGGCGGAGCAAACTGCGGAAGCGGAAGCGGCGGCTGCAGGTTGGCGATCCGCGCCTGCCTGGGTCCCACGTGTGAGGTGAGTTCGGCGGGCTGAGCCTCCGCTCCGGTAGTTGTTCGCTTCTCTGCTCTGCTCTGGGGCGGGAGGCTCTCTTCGGGCCACAGGGTAGAGGTGTTCAGACCTGTCAGCCTCTGGAAAGTCTTCAGTGGCCTTTTGTACTCTGCGAGTTTGTGAATTAACGGGAGTCTGGCGACGGGGCGGATTGAAACTCCTCTTCCTACCCTTTTACCCTGAGAGTACTTAACTGGTTATCCCTGCTGGTTCTGGCGAGCCCCTCTGGTGTGGTTGACAGTCACGCTGCTCTTAATCAATGTTAGTGCCAAGTTTACAGACAGCACAGTTGTAACAAGTGCTGGATAGGAAACAGCTGAGCGAAAGGAGAGGGGCGGCTGAAGACGTTAGCTGTAAACCGAGGCCTAAAGCAAGAAGAGCGGCTACCCTGACACATGGGAGCCCAGGAGAAACGACTTTAAACTTGGTCTCATCCCTGAGGTGGGAGCTATAGAAAGCCGACCAATGTGGTCAACTGGGAGTATTAACAGTACAAGATGAAGTGGGACCAGGTTCTTCAGATTTTGCGATCCATAGTGGGAATTTAGATTTTGTTTCTCTGCAGTGGGAAAATATTTCAGTTCCCATTTAGAGAAGATGACCGAAAACTTATAATTAAAGGGCAAGCCCGATAAGCCCGGTTTTTCTGTAGAAAATGGTTATAACTTGAGTATTATTATGTAATTGGATATTTTTTATGGTAGTTTGGATTACCATGAATGCAAAAGAGAGAAAACTTGGAAGGGGTAATAGAGGGAAGGGTAAAAGGAGACAGTTCCAAAGAAGACCTTGAATATGAAGGTTTAGCAAATGGATTTGAATGAAAGAAGCAAAAACCCAGAAACTTTGTGTTGTCTGATTCCATTTAAATGACATTTTTGAAAAGGGGCAAAAGAAGAGGGATAGAAGAACAGATGAGTGGTTGTAAGGAGAGTCAAGATAAGGTTACTACATCCTCCCCAGAGACCCCACAGGGAATCATATAGAGTGATGGAGCCATTCTGTTGGGCACTCTGGTGAGAGAGACATAACACTTGTCAAAATCCTTAGCACTATGTATAAGAGAGAACTCAAGAGTATGCAGTAGAAAAGGAAAATGTACGGAGTTACATGCTTTCTGTTTGCCTCAACTTTTTATTTAAAATTAATTTTATATAAGAGTTAAGAAAGTTAGCTTTTGTAATTATCTCCTATGGGGGTTTTTTTAGGATCAGACTGGTATGGATTTTGGGGACAACCACAGAAGGGAAGTGTGCTTCTCATGACATCCCAGGAGAAGAACCAGGTCAACACTGATCAGTTAGTGAAGGTAATATATGACAGCTTTCTTTATTTTAAAGTTACTTTTCAATTTCCATGGTCTAAGTTTAGCCCAAACCCAAGAGGAGGGGTTCTGCATCAGAGGAAATAGTATTACAAAAATTGAAAATGTAGAATCACCACAGCAGTTAATAAATATTTGGATGATCTATTTTGAGATTTATGCATGCAAACTATGTTATACATGATCTCAGGGTGCTTCAGTGTTCCCTGCTGATAGCAACCAGTGTTTTAAAGGTAATCTTCTATTTCCCTTATTACTTCTGCTTCTACTTTTACTATTCAGCTGTAGGAAAGTTTGAATTCATTTGTAGGAAAAATATGTCCTTCCTTTCTCATTTATTTTCTTAAAGCTGACCAAGAAATCAGGTGGCAGTAGTGTCACTTTGTAGTCATTTAGTCTCGCCAAATTGCAGAAAATGCAAATGCTGGCATTATGTGGTACTTAAGGTAAGAATATTCCATTGTTAACCGTTACTGTTACTGAACTGTTGCCTCAAGCACATCACACATTAAAACACAGGTCTGTGTTGTCTTTATTTTCAGTTTTAAGATTTCAAAAGCAGTAATTGGTGTTCCTGGACCTTTATTAGAAGAGGAGTGACTCACTTAACCTTCTGGATTTTGTTTTTGTTTTCTGCGGTTGCTATGATGGAAGTCAAAGGGAAAAAGAAATTCACAGGAAAAAGTGCAAAAACATCACAAGGAAATAAAAGACCTCATAAACACAACGGTAAGATAACCTGCCAAAGCATGCTTCCCATGTGGTGGTTTGGGCCTTTGTGGTTAGAGAGGGGTCTCCAGGATATAGGGGCCTGTAGCAGATTCTTTTGTATTCATAGATTACGATTAGGATTAAAGTGATAAGGAAAAATTGGTATTGTTATATATTAGTTTGCTTGGTCCTTGTAAGATAAAGACATTTAAAAAATTGTGAGAATAACTGGGGAGTGCTATGCAGATAAAAGACTTTATCTCCACCAGTGATGCTGTTACCTCATCCATACTAATTTATCACAACTTTCTGTGCACTGTTTCATAAATTGTACTATTACATTTTATCTTCAAGATTTCTAATTGTGATATCTTTATTATTCCATCAGGTGTCAGTATTGCGAAATAGGAAAGTGAGGGACTGTATAATGTTTCCTAAGTAATTGTTTCTTCCTTTAGAATCAGTCTTAGGGTAATGCTGTTGCAGTTTTATCTCAGATGTGGGTATTCAGTTTGCAAGCTTTGTTCACTAAAGATTTTTATGAAATGACTTTATTAAAGCCTTTGCAACTTTAAATTAGAAATGTTGCAAAATTAACATCTTTGTGGATTTGAAATATGTATATTTCAAGTATGCATTTTAATCTTAACTACTATTCTCTTACTAAGTCATTGAAAATTATGTGTGAGTGACAGTAATGAAAGCAGAATACAAGGCTATTTTAATACTTCACCTCTACCATATGCTTAAAGAAGAGAAATACAGGAAACTGACAACACTGGTTATTCCTAGAATTATGGGAAGTGTTTATTAGACATTTCTCTACTTTCTAGATATTTTACTGTGAATTTATATTATTTTATAATCAGAGTTTTTTGATTTTGATTTTTTTCCTAGCCTGCTCTGTATTAGACAAAGTATGTTTCACTAAAAATTAGCTTGTCATTTTCTGTAGCAGATGCAACCCAGAGGATAAAGGAGATCTAAACTCCAGATCATTGAACTAATTATTTGTTACTGTTACTAGATACTGGTTCTTCAAAGACATTCCCAAGAAAAGTTAAGGAAAATGAATCTAAAATCACATCAAAGAACTTTGAAAAAAGTGCCACAAAACCTGGGAAGAAAGGTGTGAAGCAGTTCAAGAATAAACAAGGAGATAAAATACCAAAGAATAAATTCCAGCGGCCAGATAAATTTAACAGGAAGAGAAAATTTCAGCTGGACAGTAAAACTGATGGTAAGCATGATATCCTTCAGCAGTTTTGCTGAAGCTTGCCCTGCCTGAGCCACCCTTGAATATTGTGCTCAGGGTCTCAAGAAGTCGTTTGGAACCTCCCACTCTTTCCTGAACATGCAGCCTTGTCCCAAGGTGAGAAGTCAGTGGGATTAAATAAAAGGTAGTATAGTTGTCCTCCGCTGCTTAGGGTTCCTTAATTCTGAGTCCTAAATTACCATCGCTATAGAGTTAATCTAAGATATGTTTATTTCTTATAATAGTAACTCAATTAAACACATTTCTGTAAGCTAAAATTAATTTATTCATTTAGTAAGCACACCATATTTGAGTTTTCTGAGTACTCCGCTAAGAAATGGGAGGATATGAAGGTGAGGTGGGGGGATAGGCCAGTCATCACAAAGCAGACTTACAAGATCTGTCCCATCTAACATGTGCCGCTGTGTCAGGGGCACCTTGGTGGGCAGCAGCACTTGGGCCAGGCTGGTGTAATCAGCTACTGGATGGCGGCTCCAGAAGCAGATGCCGAGTAGGTGTAGTGTGCACATGACTGACATGGCTTGGCCTGATTTTGGACAGGTTGCTCATTGATTAGCAGTGTTGACAGTGTACATGTTTGTATATCGAAACAAACTGATCTTTGTATTGTGATGTTTGAAGAGTCATTTCGAACCCAGAGCTTTGCTGTCTGTTATACAGTCCATCCCCTTGTGTATTGTCCTCCACAGTCTCAGATAACATTTTAAACGTGCTGACATGCCAACACCTTCTCTTCTGCACCATGAGAATCGCTCTGGTGTCTTGTGTTGTTGTTTTTCCAACATGGCATGTCCTAATACTGCCAGCTGAAATCTTTGCGGCCAGCTGAAACCTGTGTCTTGGGACTTGTCATTCCAGTCCCCTATATCTGGTCTCTGCTCTCTTCTGCCTGGGGCAGTTCACTGTCTTCCACCTCTCTGTTCTATTCATGCACACTGTTTCTCTTCTAGCTTTTCTTTCCTTATTTCTCTTATGGCCCAAAAATCTTCAATCTTCTTCTCTATCTTAGATTTCTTGGCGCCCTGTATTTTTAACCCCCCCCCCCCCCTTGGATCATTCATTACACTTTGGGAGATATGTTCCTGATGTTCCTGGCATCAGGAACAATTGAACTCGACTTTAGTTTCCGTAGTTAGACATCCCTGGAGTTGCTTTATCTACCACAGCAACCTTTTTTAAAAGTTGCTTTATTTACCACAAGCTAGCTATCTAGCTTGGCATATGTCAGGGTGCCCACAAATTTGTGGAATTGACTAAGCTCTGGAGCAGTTACTATCCTCTCCTGTATAATACCTGATGCTCTGATATCAGTAGTAAATGAGCCTTTTGTTGTCTAATCCTCTACTACCAAACTGGGATTAAATAAATAAACAGTGAAGGGGACAGTTAAATATACTGTGTATAATTTATAACTTAAAAATTATGTTCTTGAGGAATATTTATTTTCACAGAAGAATGCTTAATACAACATAATGTTTAAGGGAAGAGATTAAGATTCTGAATTTTTGAAGATTAAAATGTGCATGGGAAAAAGGAAATAAGATGGTAATGATTGTATCTTGGTTTGGGGGTTATATTAGGTATTGTAAACAAAATAACTTGGTTTTTGTATACAAGTGCATATTCTAATCAGGAAAAGGGAAATAATTAAAAAGAGATAATTCTCTATAAAATGTTCTTTGCAAAAGATATAAAACCCATTTGAAATAAAGTATTCTCTTTCTTAGTTGGATTCTTGATTTAGTTGGTAAAATAGTTAGAATTTGAGGACCAGGGTCCTCCCTGGTGGTACAACGGGTTAGGACGCAACACTGCAAGCTAGCTACAGCCAGTTCAGTGTGAGTTCGATCCCCAGCCCTGAAGATGATGGCGTGGCAGACCTTTCCTGACCCGCCCGCTGCTCCCCTCAGCAGTGTTCTTTGTCAGTCTACCTGTTCTGCTCCCCACTCTGTCTGTGGTGAAGCCTCTCACCGCACCTGCACTTCTGGCATGTACCCCAGTTCTGTATGAATAAATAAAATAAATCTTAAAATAAAAATCTAATAGATACTTGACTTTTGTAGCATTGGAATTGTAGAGTGTTTCTTTGTGCACTGTCTTCAGTAAGAGCAGGAGAGCATGAAGTTCAGAGTCCTCTCTGCATGTGAACCCTGGTTCTAGCACTTAGGAGTTATGGGCCCTTTGACAAGGGACTGACTGGTACCTTTGTTCCTGACACAACAGGGGATAATAATCACACGCATCTCTTAAGGTTGCTTTCAGAATTAAATGAATACATAATAGCATTCAGAATAGTGAGTTTTTGAATGCATTGCTTTTTATGTTATATACTTTGTTTCACTAGTAGTGGATTACACCTAAATTCTAAAATCTTGTAGTTGAAAGAGATGCTTCAGATTTCTCAATTGCTATTACAGTCCTTTCGTTTTCTAAGTAGATGTCCTATTAAAAAACAAGAAATAGCTGTTGAATGAATGAATGGTTGTTTTCAACCAAATTGAAAACGTATAAACTGCTTAGAAATTGAATTGAGGGGCCCGCCTTGGTATGCAACAGGTTAAAGCATAGCACTGCAAAGCTAGCCACAGCTACTTCGGCAGGAGTTCCATCCCCAGCCAGGGAGGTGACCCACATGGCACAGCAGACCTCTCCTGTCTCTCTCTGGCTGCTCCTCTCAGCAGTGTTCTTCAATCTGACTGTTCTGCTCCCCACTCTGTCTCTGGTGAATCCTGTCACCACTGCTGCCCTCTGGCCTGTACCCCAGTTCTTTATGTGTAAATAAATAAATATTTTTTTAAAATAAAGTGAAGTTAGGAGGTCGTGATGTTTTCCCCCCCTTTAACTCTTGCAATGCATATTGATCCTGATAGCAATTGCTGTATGTATTAGTTTATGTCGCTTGGAATGTTAAATGTACTTGAACACCATATCTGTAATGACTAGACCCAGCAGCCAAGAAACCCAAGTGGGATGACTTCAAAAAGAAGAAGAAAGAACTGAAGCAGAGCAGGCAACTCAGTGATAAAAGCAACTATGACATTGTTGTTCGTGCAAAGCAGATTTGGGAGATCTTGAGAAGGTAATGCTACCTAGAGGCATCTTTATCAGTTCCTTTGAGATAATGGAAGAGTAACGGTGTTACTCTAATAAATAGAGAGATGCCCTAAAATAAATGGCATAGTACTTGAGTTATTTAGGGGATACTCATAACACTTGAGCAGAGGCGTCAGTATTTGGATGTATGCCCACTGTAGAAATGTGTAGAATCATTAGGATGGTTCAGATATGTTTATGAAATGTATGACAATTAAAAAGACTTTGACATTCTTACAGAGATTCTGAGAAAATGAAGGACAATCTCCTTATTGGCTAAATTTTTGAGATACTTAAGTATTTGCTATCTTGGTCTTGTTTTATTATTTTCTTTATTTTTGACGTTCTGGCTGTTCAGATTTTGATTGATGCATAAAATTATACCTTATGAGATGGGTTTCTGCTTTTGAGAAAATTGCTTTTCTCTGGCTGCTCTGGAATAGTAATTTTAATGTCAGAGTTTTGCTGCCTTCAAAGAGAAAATCATGCTGAACTGGGTGAGCATGCACTAGGGTGCTTTTTAGTTTTGTGTATTTAAAATAGTCTTTTCACTTAATCTGTGTTTCCTCCTTATTTATAGAAAAGACTGTGACAAAGAAAAAAGAGTGAAGTTGATGAGTGATTTGCAGAAGTTGATTCAGGGGAAAATTAAAACTGTAAGTAGGAACATACTCACTGCTTAAATTTTAAAAGCTGAAGTTGACTCACTCAGTGAAAGGTACCTGACCATACATGGCAGGTGAAAATGTTGTTTTTTATGTATTTGGCTCAAATTTCAAATACTTTTCCCTGTCAGTTTTATTGAGATAATTACATACATCATTAAGGTGTGTGGCATAATGGTCTGATTCATATACACTGTGAGATAATTACCACAGTAGATTCAGCTGATTCCATACCATCAAATATCTTTTATAACACTGATTAAATAATAAATTTAATCATTAGGGACCCTACTGCTAAGAAATTATAAAGATTATCAAAATATCTGACTCTGTCAGTTTTAATAATTTACTTTAATATTCTCAACGTTATCTTGGCACAGCAGCAGCAGCAATGGCAGCATCTCGATGCCCACCTGTGATTATGCAGGTGTCGCTTTTTTCCTTTCTCTTTTCCTAATAAACATGTCCTTTTAAAATGTTTTAAAATAACCTTGAGAATTCTGTTTCTCAGAAATGTTTATTGTTGGAATGTCTTGCACTGTACTCCATATACTTTCGTATGTTCTACATTACTGACTTTAAAATATGTGTGAGGCTCTTCCTTGCTGTTCCAAATGTTCATGAAGTTCTTTTAAAAGGAATAGATTTGGAAGTTCTGACGTAATTTTCATTTTGCTATTTAGTCATGTTTTATAATAAACTTCTGCTGATTTTTGTGTATTTGGATAAGTACTAATCCACTTGTAAGACGACAGACTGTATCTTTGGGGACTCTGGAGGGACAGCTTTTGCCAAATCATATATAGATACCTCTACCCAGTTACTGTATTGCAGTTTGGAGGAATGTCCTGAAATAGCAAGTTCCCAGCTGCTGCTTTCTTACAAATTCAACAAGATCTTTTTGGGATAAAATAGCTCCATTCTAGCACTAATTTGTTAAGTTCCATTCATAAATATTTTATACTAAAGATCCTTTCTCAGCTACCTTTGTGTTATTCATGATCATGGAATTTATACTGGTGTTCAGATCCTCATCCAAATGCTTAATGTGTCACTTTGGAGATAGCAACCTGTTTTTCTCATGTTCAGTTAACAGTTGTTTGTAAATACGTAAGTTTCAAGTTACAACTTTTTTCTTCAGTATTTCTATATACTACATGTGGTCATCACCAGAAGTCTAGTTCTAGCCATACCATATATAATCCTACTTATTTGCCACATACGAGGAATTGTGCTAACCAATGTGTAAGTTATTTCCTTTATCATCCCTATTTGATTCATATGTGGTACTCAAAGAGTGTCTTTCCTAGGGTCATAGAGATAGCAAGTTCCTTAACTTCTCATAAACTTAATTTCTCACCTGTAAAATGTTAATTACTTTTTTTTTTTAAGATTTATTTATTTATTCGTACAGAACTGGGGTACAGGCCAGAGATGCGGAGGGTGAGAGGATTCACCAGAGACAGAGTGTGGAGCAGAACAGGCAGATCAACGAAGTACACTGATGAGGGGGAGCAGTGGGCGGGTCAGGAGAGGTCTGCCACACCATGTGGTCACCTCCGGGGCAGGTGGGAATCGAACTCATGCAGAAACGTCTTTAGATTCTCAGTGCTGTGCTTTAACCTGCTGCACCGCCAGGGAGGGCCCAAATGTTAATTACTTTTTTTTTTTAAGATTTATTTATTTATTCGTACAGAACTGGGGTACAGGCCAGAGATGCGGAGGGTGAGAGGATTCACCAGAGACAGAGTGTGGAGCAGAACAGGCAGATCAACGAAGTACACTGATGAGGGGAGCAGCGGGCGGGTCAGGAGAGGTCTGCCTCGCCCACCATGTGGTCGCCTCTGGGGCAGGCGGGAATCGAACTCATGCAGAGGTGGCTTTAGTCTCCTAGTGCAGTGCTTTAACCCGCTGTGCCACCAGGGAGGGCCCCAAATGTTAATTACTTTTAAGGTTGCTTTGAGGTCTGAGTGAGAAAAAGAATAGTAGGTTACCTAGTAATCTAAAAATAAACATGTAAAGCATAGTATGGTATCAATATATGCACAAAACAACCTTTTTATTTTTAATATTTTTTAGGTTTTACCTCTGCCTTAAGGAAGTTTTTCTGAAATTTGTGACTGATTATGGTGTTCTTCATATTTGCTTTATTAGCATTTTTTTAAAAATTAGAAACGACCCTCCCTGGTGGTGCAGTGAGTTAAAAGTATAGCACTAAGAAGCTGAATCCACTTAAGCATGAGTTCCATCCCCACCCTGGAGGTGACCCACATGGCACGGCAGGCCTCTCCTGATCCGCCCGCTGCTCCCCTCAGTAGTGTCCCTCGGTGGTCTTCCTGTTCTGCTCCCCACTCTGTCTCTGGTGAATCCTCTCACCACACCTGTGCTGCTGTCCTGAACCCCAGTTCTGTATGCATAAATAAATAAATCTTTTTATTTTTTTTTAAAGATTTTATTTATTTGTGCATACAGAACTTGGGTACAGGCCAGTGGCTCAGGGGCAGTGAGAGGCTTCACCAGAGACAGAGTGGGGAGCAGAACAGGCAGATCAACGAAGCACACTGCCAAGGGGAGCAGCGGGCGGGCCAGGAGAGATCTGCCGCGCTGTATGGTCACCTCCAGGGCAGGCGGGAATCAAACTCATGCTGCAGTGGCTTTAGCTTCTCAGTGCTGTGCTTTAACCCGCTGCGCCACCAGGGAGGGCCAAATAAATAAATCTTTAAAAAAAATTAGAAGCAATTTGAGCAACAGATAATAAGCACTTTTAAACTGGGATTTAACAGCATTTTTGGTTATTACTATTGGCAACTCATTTGGTGAAGATCTAATCTGTATAGTAGCTGGGAAGAATTGGAGAATCAGATGTGAAATGCAATTTTTCTAGGAATATAACTGGATATGAGAAATTGAGTAATTAGCTTTTAATCACCAGTGTGCATACAGTTATGTAGCAAGATTAATATCTTTTACCTTAGTTATTTATATTTTTAAATACATATGTGTGTATATCTATCTTAATAATGTATAATTGCTAAAGCCAAATATTCTTAAATCATTCATATTAAAAACAATCATAAAATTTTTAAATTGGGGAATTTCCCACTTAGGGAAAGTAACTTTCAGAGAAATGAGAAATATAGTATGTATGATCTCTAGAAAGATTTGGTTTGACTTTAATTATAATGATAGGAACCTTATAAAGATGGTCACATCCATCTCTGTCTCAGAACCATATGGGGGGCAGCAAAACCAAAGAATGCCTTTCTATACATTTTAAACAAGTAGTTCTACTCCAAGTAAAGTTTGGTTTTATCCATGAAGTTTCTACTTTTTTTTCCCTAACAAGGAATTCTAAAGCTAAAAGAGGTAACCATGAAACATTAAAAATATGATTAGAAAACACATCTTCAGGAAAAAATAGTCTAAAGGCCCAAACTCTTTCCTACAGATTGCATTTGCCCATGATTCAACTCGTGTTATCCAGTGTTACATTCAATATGGTAATGAAGAACAGAGAAAACAAGCTTTTGAAGAATTGCAAGGTATTTCTTCATATTAAAGATTTATTGTAATACTTTGTAATAAGTCACTTTTTTTCTCTTGAAATACTCAAGACTGTCCTGGAAAATAATTCTGTTGAAGAAAAACAGTGTGCCCTCGGTAGACCTCCTGTGTTGTTATTTGATCTAGATATATGAAGAATTACTTTTTTGTGTTCTCAGAATTATGCGTTTATTTAGTTCTTTTCTTTGTTTTTACTGGTCTGAAATGAGGTTATCACATCACTATATTATATTTTATTTTTCAGGTGATTTGGTTGAATTAAGTAAAGCAAAATATTCCAGAAATATTGTTAAGAAATTTCTCATGTATGGGTAAGCTATTTTATTTATAAAATATATTTTCATTAGTTTTTCAAAGGCAATGATACTGATTGCACGCAAAAGTTACTTAAAAATGTGTGATCTTGAAAATAGCCCTAAGCAAATGCTTGTAATGTTTCCAGGGATTCTCTCTTGAAAACAATTACTGAATTAATTTGATGATACTGCCTTCACTATTCTTAAAGTATATATTGAAGCCCTGGAAGAAAAGAAATAGGATAATTAACTTGTAATTAGTAACTGTACTTAGAGGCTGGAGGATCGGGAGGAATAGTGACACTTAGACAGAGCAAGTGGGTTAAAAATGCCAAGATAGGGCTTTCCCAGGTGACGCAGTGGGTTAAAGCACCACATTATGAAGCTCTCTGAAGCCACTATAGCACGAGTTCGATTCCCCCATCAGGGAGCTGACCTACATGGTGTGGCAGACCTCTCCTGACCCACCCACTGCTCCCCTAAGCAGTGTTATTTCAGTCAGTCAGTCTGTTCTGCTCCCCACTCTGTCTCTGGTTAATCCTCTTGCCCACCACACCTCTGGCCTGTACACCAGTTCTGTAAGCATAAATAAATAGATCTTTAAAAAAAAAAAGCCAAGATAGAGGATTTCTGAAATTTGATGGAATTGATACTTCTCATTTTAATTGTAATAATATGTCAAAATATGCTAGCTGGCAACAAAACAGTACAGTTGGCAAAATTTTCCAAGATTCTATTCTTAGCTCTAATTATCACTTTATTTTTTTTTTAAGATGTAAAATAGATATTGTGATTGTCCTGTTCTAAAGAAGAGTCCTAGAACATTTTTTGTTTGCATTTCTTTGCCCTTTTGACTTTTAACCTTCCTCTTTTATTTTATTTTTTTTTTTTAAAGATTTATTTATTTGTGCATACAGAACTGGGGTACAGGCCAGAGGCTCAGGGGCGGTGAGAGGCTTCACCAGAGACAGAGTGGGGAACAGAACAGGCAGATCAACGAAGTACACTGCTGAGGGGAGCAGCGGGCGGGTCAGGAGAGGTCTGCCACGCCATGTGGTCTCCTCCGGGGCAGGCGGGAATCGAACTCATGCGGAAGCGGCTTTAGATTCTCAGTGCTGTGCTTTAACCCGCTGCGCCACCAGGGAGGGCCTCCTCTTTTATTTTTTAACTCAACTTTTCAAGCTGATGAATAATGGGAACTGATGTTTATAGAGTGCTATCTTCTGCTCACAGTTCTCAGTGCATCTTAATTCATTTAACCCTCACATAAACATTCATTCTCTTTTCTGACTGAAATGCTAAAATGCAGCTTAAATAATTGCTCAGGGTTTTTCAGCTGGTAAGCAGAGTTGGATTTCAAACCTACAGCAGCTGGCTGCTGAATAACTTAAGCTTGAGGTGGAAATACAGGTGTTTGGTTTTTTACTTCTCTGTGGTAGCACATCCCTCCACCCTCCATTGATAAGTTGGTCTCAGGAGGACTAAGTTAGGATTTGTTGTTACCTACTCTCTCTTCCTGTGATTGTGTTGGGTTTAGGACTAAACCACAAATTGCAGAAATAATAAAAAGTTTTAGAGGCCACGTGAGGAAGATGCTCCGGCATGCAGAAGCCTCGGCCATCGTGGAGTATGCCTACAATGACAAGGCCATTTTGGAACAGAGAAACATGCTGACAGAGGAGCTCTACGGCAATACGTTTCAACTTTACAAGGTGACAATTCAAGATATTTTTTTTCTAGCACGTTTACTTTTCCTGTGTGCTATTCTTTAACTCCCATTACCTTGTTTTCAGACTATATTTTTATTTTGACTGGTCTTGTAAGATTATCTTGTGTCGTTACTCTTTTAGATGATTTTGTTTCTGGTCTAGTGACCAAGTGATCGTACTTGATTTCTCTGTCTTCTACACCATGGTCCCCCTTTAAATTAAACTACCTTTTTTTTTTTTTTTAACTCCCTCTGTTATACTCTGGGTTGTTTCAGTACTTCTGTTTTAATGTGAGAGAGAGGAGACTTTTTAATCAGTGAAGTTTTGTAAATACCCCCTGGCCAGCTCTGCCTTGACTAGTGCATCAGGTTGCCTGTTGCCACCTTCTCCATGTCCTCACTATTCATCAGAGAGGAGGGGGAGTAGAGAGATCCAGCCTTGCTAAAACACAAGGATTGGATTAAAAAATAAAACTAGTGAGAGTAGAACAGCTCAGAGATTTATTTCAGACCTTGGTGTACATATTTATCTCAGGAGATACAGAATAATTCCTACATTGCCTCGGCTAATTAGTTTCGACTCCTAGGTTGAACTAGGTGCTGTATTTTGTGATACTATAGGACTGTCCAGTGCTGATTACAAAACACATGGCACAAGAATTTGTGAGCTTATCCCTTGATCTTACGATTAGACGTGTGCTTGACAAGTATGTTGGGTTGGCTGGTTGCTTATCTTGGCTCTGTCTGTACATTGGTATAAAGATTTGATTTTTTTGCTGTTGCAGTCAGCAGATCACCCAACTCTGGACAAAGTATTAGAGGTTCAGCCAGAGAAGCTAGAGCTTATCATGGATGAAATGAAACAGATTCTGACTCCAATGGCTCAAAAGTAAGAAAAGCATTTTTGTTTTTTCTTAACAAATAGCCTTTGAAAGGGAAAAGTGTAATATAATATTTGTGTGGAAAGGTGGATAGTTTCAAAAGTATAGACTGCCATTTAAATTGGATTGTAAAACTTAAAAACCTGGGTGTGTGGCCTTCTGCTCTTTTATTTGTATTATATGGGGGCAATTGGAGCTTGATCTCTGGGACTAGAGTGCCTTTGTGTGAATCCTGGTGCCTCAATTAGTGTGACCTCTCTGTGTCTCAATTTACACATCTATAACATTGGAATAATTAATGATACACATTTTAGAGTTTTATGAAGATAAAATGAGTCAATATTACCAGAGCACTTAGACCAGTGTTTCACTCTTAAAGGCTTAATTTTTTTGCCCCCTATGTGGGCCCCTGTGAACTTGCCGTCTTCATGCCCTAGCATCAGCCCCACTGGACTCCTTGATTTGCCAGTATTGCACTAGGGGTTCGAATCAGTCCTGTGTTGTTTCAGTAGCTGATAATAGGTTTGATCCATTCAGGTGTTAATTCTTCTAAAATTGCATGATAAAACTGACACATTGGTATAGGATACTTGGGAGAAAGTTATTTTAAAAAAACAGGCCCATTGTAGATTTGTAATCATGTGTATTATTGGGTAAAAAAATATAAAGGTCTCTATGTTAGAAATAGTACTTAGATTTTGAAAGTTGGTTTCATCTTTGTTGATTAGATAGTAGATATCTGTACTTTGGTCTTTGTTGTATATGATACTCAAAGAAATTTACAGAAGAGGTTTTCTAGATCTTACTATTCCTGAAAGATGCAGCCCATTTTATTACAAATTACATTTGCTAAAACCATGTCGTGTTCTTTGATTATCTGAAAATAACTAAGATTGCCTATCTCTGTATCAATGGTGTCATGTAGGACACTTTTGTTTTTTTTTGTTCTGTTTGCAGGGAAGCTGTGATTAAGCACTCGTTGGTACATAAAGTATTCTTGGATTTTTTTACCTATGCACCTCCAAAGCTAAGATCAGTAAGTTTCTTGGCTTTTAGTTTAGTTTTGTTTCTTAAAGATTTATTTATTTATGCATACAGAACTGGGGTACAGGCCACCGATGCACGGGTGGTGAGAGGGGTAACCATAAATGGGGGGAATAGAACAGGCAGATTGATAAAGTATACTTCTGAGGGGAGCAGCGGGTGAGACAGGAGAGGTCTGATATACCATGTGGATCACTTCCCTGGCCGGGGATCAAACTCACTCTGCAGTGACTGCAGACAGCTTCATAGTGCTGCGCTTTAACCTAACCCATTGTGCCACCAGAGAGGGCCTTAGTTTTTAGTTTTTAAAGCAAAATACAGGAAGAGCCATGTAAAAATGTGAAGCACTACTTTTGATAGACACTGCTTTTTGGATATTTTAGGCAGTTGTTTCCTTACTTTAAAAAGATAACTCACTATATTTCCTTTAAATAAATCTGCTAATTCCATTTGGAGATTTGCCTGAAGATAATATAATTGACCATTTTTTTATCAACTCCATTTTATTTTTATATTTTAATTGTAATCCAGATAGTATCCTCAAGCTAACCTAATCTGAAAATTAAATAACAAGTGAAAGGATATGCCTTATTCAGATTTGAAATTCATGTGGGCTGATAGAAAAAAAAAATATGTTGGTGTTGAAAGATTAGGGGAGGACATTTGTATAAAACTAAATCGACCATGAAAAACTGGACTTTATATGATGGAAGGATAAGGAACAGAGTGAAGGTAAATTGCACTGCCCTTCAAGTCAGTGATGGGAATACAAATGAGAACTTATCATTTAGGCCCCTGAACTGAGTGCTTTACCTCACCGTACAGTGAACTCATTGTCTCCTGTCCTCTTTCTAATAATGAGGTAACTAAAATAATGAGACTTACTTCTTCTTAACAAAGTTCCTTTGACCTTCTCAAAATAGGAATATGGCATAATTTTTCAAGAGAAAATACTCACCTAAATTTGTGGTTCAAAGACCATAGCAGCAGCTCCTGATTCTCTTTCGGGGATTTTTTTCTTTCTTTCCTGTAGAACACAGTATTTCACAGGTCTGCATTTCACTAAGGCAAGTCTTTATTTGAGAACTGAGGAAATAATCATTTAAGTACTGGACATTTTTACCTTTTTAGTGTTCAATGTCTATTAGTAATACTAAAAAATTCTTTGGGAACTTACTTGAAATATAGAATAATGAAATATTTTTTGGCCCTGGGACTATTTAAAAGTAAATCACAAAAACAAGTTTAAAACTAGTAGAAGCATAATGAAGTGTTTGTAACTCCAACTGGACAACTTTGCAGGCATTCATAAGTTACCAATGTAAGATAAAAGCTGTGTTCTTTAGATTTTTCCTGGGGTGGGATTATAAGGTGGTTAAAGGTAAAATTTTTGTTCTTTATTGATGATAATGGTCACCCAACTTTCTTCTGGTGGGAGACTATTATTCAGTTTTAAATTGGGAATGGTCTATAAAGTTGGGCCCTGAAGCTCTTAGCTGCAAGAACTCATTTATATTCTATATACTAGACTTCCTAAATATAGTTAAGAAAATATTTTACATTGAAAATGAAGACTAGGAAAAATAAGCTAGACTGCTTTGTAAAAAATTAATGATTAAGAATGTAAGAAATAACATTTACTAAAATATTATTGATAAGTGAGAATCTAGGCTAATTGTTAGTAGAGAAATTAACTTTTCTTAGGGAAATGTTATCAGCTGTCTTTATGGTAAATTATTAATATGATTTTCAGAGGTAATCCAGTGATAAAAACTGGAAGGGAAACTTCTTTACTCAAAAGCAGTGTTTAGTTTTCTGCTCATTATAATTTTATTTTTTTAGGGAAAAGCATTTTATTTTTTTAATCTGGCGTTTCTCTTAGACATTTCCTTCTTCCCCAACTAGCTCTTAGACTTCTTTTTCTTGAAAATGCATTTAGAATATGCCATACATATACTTTATGTATAAACATTAGTAAAATCTAGGCACTGTAATAAAAATTGCCTGTCAGGATTTGCCACTCTTGATGGGAAATGGTGTTTCTTAAAGGAGGCTGTGTTTTTGTGTGCTTATCTACAACATTAAAAATTAAGTTGAGTGCTACCTAGGCCCTCTTTTATTCTGGGTATATAATGCTCCCCAGGCAGATTTTTAAAAGGTAGACAGAATGTAAACCAAAGCCCTGCTGGCATTTGTTCTTCAGGAAATGATCGAAGCCATCCGAGAAGCAGTGGTATACCTGGCACATACACACGATGGCGCCAGAGTGGCCATGCACTGCCTGTGGCACGGCACACCCAAGGTAATGTGTCAGCTCAGTTTGCTTTTCCTTTCATTTCATTCTCCTTTGGTCTCTTCCCTGTTAGGCACAAACAGCCTTATCTTCACTTGTTGAGCTTCAGAGCCCCACAGAAATTGTCTCTTCTTTGGACCTGGTGTTTCTTCTGTATAGTTGTTGTCCCTAAATTCTGAAATTTGTAGTTTTCATTATATGGAAAGGGATCTGTCACGCAAATAAACACATATATACATTAAACTTAGTTTAGAGAAATGTTGGTAACTGCCAGGCTCGTTAATTTCTCATTTAGTGATGTTATTGGGGGAGGGAGAAAAAGGAGGAAAAAATGAACAGTTTCATATTTGCTTACATAAGTATTAAGTACTTTGAGGGAAAAGATAGAGATGCATATTAATTACAGAAGTATAACAGATAATCATTTACCTGATCACTGTAATTTCCATTTTTCAAAGATAGCTATACTTTGTGCACTTTCTCAGATAATGCAGACTCCCTTCAACAGAATTGTATTGAATGCCATGGCTTTGCTAAATTAGCAAATTCATTTGAAGACAGTTCAGACACTGGAAGACGGATTTCAGTTCTCACTAAAAAAGATATAGTTTCATTAAATTTGCCTTAGAAGCTAATAATTTGTTGATTCCATGTTTGTGTGCTAATGCGTTTCACATGCTAGTGTAAGATTATAAAAGCTCTGAAAGAGGTTTTTACAGCCTATTGCATTTTTTTCATTCTGGCTTCATAACTATTTCCCTAATGAAAAGTATGCTGTGCCTATGAAGATTTAATGTTATATAAAATTTCCTAACAATAAAATGCCTTAATTTATAACTACATCTATGAACAAACTATAAGTACATCTGTAACTAAAAGTTCATGAGACACTTTTACTTTTTTTAAGGACAGGAAAGTCATTGTGAAAACAATGAAGACTTATGTTGAAAAGGTGGCTAACGTAAGTATTACAAGACTACATACATATTTTTCTCTTAATTATTTGACTATAAAATTAATTTATCTAAGATGGAAAATTTTAGAAAATTGTCAGGGATAAAGTAATGTGTTGTTTTGTTTTATTCTTACCTTTCTAGTCATATGTATGTATTTTTTTGTTTACACAAAATGAAATTTCTCTTTAACAATATTGTGACAGTTTTTGATTTTCATTGGATTTCTCAGGGTTTTTTATTCAATTATTTTTAAGAACTTGTGTTTGCTCTATACATATATAATTACATATACAAACATGTATATATGTTTCGCTCCTTAAGTAAATATGCCAAATTGCATTTCAGAAATTTGGTACCAAATTCATTACCACTGAAACAATGTGAAATTTGTCTTTTTTTCCTTAGATTAAATGTGTTGATAAAAAAAATTGTAGTAATATTTTGTAGTTCATTGGAATCCTTTGAAGATGCTGTAGCAGTTTTCTTCATGAGTTCAGAGGACAGAGAAAGTCTTCTGAGTTTTAATTGCCTCAAAAACAGTATTTATATTAGTTAAATACTAAATGTTTTTCATGGTATTCCTAGATAGATACAATAGGAACATTTAAAAATGTTTAGTTTTATATATTACATTGTATATCTTCTAATTTAGTGGTGAGCTAAAATTGGCAATCTCAACAGCTTCCTATAATAAATTCAATGAGAATTATTAACATCTGGTAAATACAAAATATAGTAAATGGTCATTCAAACGAGAAATTTGTCCTTTGTGATTATATACATACCTGTTTTCTGTAGATTTGGAAAATAGGAAGAAAGTATAAAAACACTCAGAAGATAACTTTCCTATAACAGTGAAATATACATTACTGGTTATGTCTGGGGATGAAAATATGATTCATAATTCATATGAATCATATGCCATTTTAATTTTCATATTTTTAATTAATATAGCAACAAAATGTTAAATAGACAGTTCTTTAAAGGTATCGATAGTAAAAAAAGCATTCTTTAAGTAGTAAAATTGTATTGTTTCATTTTTATAGTTTAGTTACATCAACTACACACACGCACACACGCATAGGAGAACATGATCCCAGCAAGGACTTATTTTATAAAACAACATGACACAGTCATGGTATCTTAAAAAGAATGTGTTTGTGGAGTTGCTGGATATGGTACTCTAAATGTTACTTTGATGGAGGTGTTTGATAGTGTTGTTCAGATAATGAGTTTTTATTGATTTATTATGGCCTAGTTCTATTAGTTGCATAGAGAAGTGTATTAAGAATTCCCAACTACATTTGTTGGACTATCTCTCACTTAGTTTATTCCAACTTCTTTTCTTTTCTCTCAGAGATGGTTTGTGTTTAGACCTGTTTGTGTATGTGCTAAATAAAATAAACAGAAACTATGCTGTATTTCTTTCTGAGAACTACTACTGCATAGTTGTTTTCTATTTTTAATTAATTGTTGGTCTTTCCATAGAGATGTTGTTAGATCTTTGTTATTTTCCTCCAGTTTTTCTTTATGAGCTTATAATTGGCAGTTTTCCCATTGTTTCTGATTGAAGCCTTATTACCTAAAATATTCATCAGACCTACCTGAATGACTTTTGGCTATTACCAAAAATCAAGTCCTCCCTCAAAAAAAAAAATTATATCACTCTGGGATAAAAAGGGAATATACCAGTAACATTTGTTATTTTATTTATTTTTACACAAAGTAGAAGTTCCTTGAATATCTCTAACATGTCAATATCACAGAAATAATGTTATCATTTCAAGAGTTGGCTCTTGTGGAATTCAGTATATAACTTGTATGATCTCATGGTGCTGCCCTGTTTAAAAAACAGTTTTATACACTGAATATGAGGGAAAAAATTTTTTTTTTTTTTTAGTTTATATTTTTATTTTTTTTATAAGATTTATTTATTTATTCATATAGAGCTGGGGTACAGGCCAGAGATTCGGAGGGTGAGAGGATTCACCAGAGACAGTGGGGTACAGAACAAGCAGATCTACAAAGTACACTGCTGAGGGGAGCAGCGGGCGGGTCAGGAGAGGTCTGCCTCGCCATGTGGTCTCCTCCGGGGCAGGCGGGAATCGAACTGATGCGGAAGTGGCTTTAGCTTCTCAGTGCTGTGCTTTAACCCGCTGCGCCACAAGGGAGGGCCTAGTTTATATTTTTAAAGGACAGGTTTATTGCGGGAGAGGCACAGGTGAGCAGGAAACTGAGCAAATGAATATGAGAATATTCTTGTTTTGTTTTTTCTTTTTTTAGTATTGCTTTTAGTATTTCTATTCCTGTTACATGTGATTATTTGAAGAAAATGAAAAATTGTAATCCTTCAACCTGAATAACTTACATTATTGTATTTTTCCTTCCAGAATTTTTTATGTACGTATTTATGTGTACTCTGCCTACATGCAGTTATATTGTATTTATGTATCTTCTTTTCATGGTTGAAATGTTCTAATATAGTCTTACATGCTGTATATTCTTGGTGAGTTTCAACTGTTTGTCTTTCAAGAATGTGCTTTTCTGATTATTTTAAAGTTGTTACATTGGTGGAATTCAAGGAAGAACATATGCTGTATTTCTGAAACTTTCATTTCTTACAGGGCCAGTACTCCCATTTGGTTTTATTGGCAGCGTTTGATTGTATTGATGATACTAAACTTGTGAAGCAGATAATCATATCAGTAAGTAATTTTGCTGATCTTTTAGTTAAATTGATAAATCGATAGTCATATATACATTGGATTTCAGACATATATGTTTAAAGACTTTGAATTATGCTTTCTAGCAGTATTTTGTTACTTTTTTAGTTGCTTCAGTTACGCTTACTTTTGGGGCTTGCTTTATTCCTATATAAATCACAGTGTTATAAAATGGTATTTGTAATATTATTTTTAAATATTTAGAAGACATGTGTTTTTAGACTATGTGGGATGACATGAGTTTTTAGACTATGTGACATACTAAATGAAAATTTAGCAACGCATTATTGATATTTGACCAGAAATTAGTTTGCATAGTAATTGTTCAATTATTCAGGAACTTTGTTTCCAGGCAGAAGCTATCTATGACTTTTTACTCTGCCTTTGGAAAAACTACCTCTGCATAATTAACCCAGTTTCTCAATGTATTTGTCTTAGGTTGAGCTGGTAAATAAAAACTGATGAAACTCGGTTATGTAACTTATAAGAACTTCATGACAGTGTTTATGTAGTCAAATTAAAAATTACTGAAATTCAAATGCAAGCTTCTATTCACATTTGAGCAGTTCCTTTAAACATGGTGTAGTGGTCATCATGTGTTTATAATTGAATGCACTTTAACACTTTATTTAAATTTGCTTTCAGGAAAACTGAATTCTTAGAAAAACTGGTCCAAAGTAAGAATTGGGTTGTCAGAAGAGTTATGATGCATTTCAGAGGGAAAAGAACGGCAAACCAATATTACATTCTGTGATAACTGTTCCTTTTTCTGACTTCAGAATCAATGTCCCTCTCTTTTTCCTTTATTTCTAGTGTGTAAGTGATTCTGGACATATGAATCGGGTTAGGGAGGGTAGGAATAAGAAATTGTAACAATAGCAGCATTGAACGAATTTGGAAACATTTTTTAAACCACTTATTCTGTGTAGACATGGGTTATTCCTCTAAAAATTACATAAACCTTTCTTTTTGATACACATGGATTGGACCCTTGGAGAATCTGTGACTGAAACTACTTTCACACAGCTCTACAGGGAGGAATATATGGGTGATGAAAATGAGAGCTGTCATGTGGTGGTGCTGTGGCCTCTCTTTTTAGTCTGTCAGGACCAGTAGAGCTGCATATAGTAAGAAAAATGTATGTGCTAATAGAGGAGATTTGTTTTCTTAGATGCCAGCTCTAGGTCAATGCATGTGAATTTCTCATGCCCTTGCTGTCATTTTCCAACTTTTCCCTTAACTATTTTAAGATTGTGATGACTTTCTTCGGTGTAACATTGTGGGAAGAAATAATTTGGCAGGACTTCCACGTCACAAACTGAATATTTTGACAAATTCCATGTGACTTTATTACCCTTTTGACTCCTATCAATAATGATAGTTTTCATTTCAGTGACAGAGCTGTGAGGGCATAGATTGGCTAATGAATAACTTTATTTCATGGAAATGCAAACAGGCTGGGCTATTGAAAGTTTGCTTTTGTTTAATATTTTCATGACAACTAAAATTTGCATAACTGTCTCAAATGGATTTCAAGAGAAGCCAAGCCTCCTTCAGGGTTTACCACAAGTGTCTGATAGATTAATTTTTCCAGAGATTTATCCCACTTAAAGTCAAGCTTGAAACAGCTTTTAATTCCTTGTGCTTATCGCTTTGATTCCCATAACTATTTAACCCAAATTCCTAATGACTTTCTCATACTTAAACCAGCCATTCTGAGAATGGCCTGATTTGCTGAATCTAAATGACAAATGCTCAGTGGGTTCTGTGTATCATTAAGCTATGAGGCTAATGATAAAATTCTGGAATGCTAATTGCTGTTGTATTTTTCCTGTCCATCCACCACAAAGGCTGTTGCAGTATGCAATGTTTTTTTTCAAAATAACCAAGGAAGCTTATTGTTGTTATGTGTTCTGTTCAATGTAGCCAGACTTCCTGAAATGTCAAGATGAAATCACAGCCTGATCACCTGAACTGTCCCCTTTCAAAATGAATGCAGAGTTTTCTCACCTGCTTTACCTTCCAAAGTAAACATACTTGAAAAGTTTTGACCCATTTTACCCTGGAATTGATGGTATCATGCAGCTGCTTTGACAGCAACTTTCCTCTGAAAGTGAATTAAGTGACCTGACCAGTTACTGTGTAAAGTGCACAGTTGATGCATACTTTAGCATGCCTTATCTTTTAAATATACAGAAAGGTATAAATAATAATAGATTCACTGCAATGAAAAAATAAACTAGGCAAGTATATTTCAAACCCTTTATTCCTGGTTGCATATCCCATTCCATCCCTGCTATATCCTCACTGATGAATTTGGTACTTATATATTTAAATGCATTTCCTTATCTGATCATATAGGTAGACTTGCATTATTTTTGCATTTTTACAAAGTGTACAAATGGTATCTTATGTTTTCTCCACCTTTTTTTTGGGGAGGCATTATGTTTGATATTCACCATTGGAAGTTAACAAACCTTTTTAACAAAGGGTGAGATTAGTAATTTCTTGAGGCTTTGTGCACTGTGATCTCTGTTGCCTGTTGCTTGTTCTGTTATAACCCCTTAAGATTAAAAAAGCTATCTTGTAGGAATTATGGACATAGGCTAAAGGTTGTATTTAAACCCACTGGCCATCATACCTAACCCTACTCTGCATCATTCATTATTCAGTGGCAAGTAGAGTTCTGCTCTGTCATGGTTCATTTTTCCATTGATGAAAATTTAAATTGTTTACAATGTTAACATATTTTTTGCTATTACAGTAATTTTGTATATCTCTTTGTTTTCTAAGCGGTTTACTTAGCAGGATCTCTGGGTTGCCTGGCAGGCTGCATAAATGTTTATATATAGTCAAGTGTCCACATTTCTCACTCAGCCATTACAAAACCTGTTGCATATGCAGTGCTTTCAAAAATAGCCAAGGAAGCTTAGTGTTGCGAAGCACTCATTTAGAGTAACTGGATTTCCTGAAATATCAGGTTGAAATTGTAACCCAGTGAACACACTCCTTTTCTCTACACTGAGCTCCAGTTCAATCTGCAGATACTGTTCTCTGTTCTTCCAGCCTGACCTGGTCTCCTGGTCCTCTCAGCATCTCTAGTATTTGTCCTTCCATTCATTTACTTACTAGTTAATTGTGAGAAGGCTCAGTATTGTCAGATTGAGGAATACTGCATGAATGAGTGAGGCAGGGTGGGGTGCAGATTTTGGGGAAGGAGAAGCACATGCACTGTCCAGGATGGCAGCCACCACTTGGTTGCAGGCTTTGAAATACGATCTCCATGGTGATAGATATCCAAATTCTTTTTTCTTTTAAAATGTGATACAAAGTACACATCGCATAGAATTTACCATGCTAACAGTTTTTAAGTGTGCAGTCTAAGTGTCTTCACACTGGCTGTCTTCACATTGTTGTGTAGCTAGTCTCTAGAATTATTTTGTCTTGAAAAACTTAAATTACATACTTAACTACACCTTCCAGTTTGTTAATGCAGCAGAAACCATCTCCAAGTGTTTTGGATAAACACTAGAAGACTGCAGACCCTGCCTCATGATCTCCCATCTACATTAATTTGTTAAATCTCTTCATTAAGTTTCTTTTATGCCTTCTGCTTAGATTTTTGCTTCTTAAAGTTAACACCAGTTGGCATTTCTTTTCGTCCCCATAAACAACCTGCCATGGAGGTATGTATGTGGGCAGGTCCCCCACTAGCACCATTTTTCTCATGTTGTTATGTTATTGAGGAATGAAACTGTCCCACCTGACTTTGAACCAAGACAAAACTGGAAGAACTGCTTATACATCATTTCACTTAAAGTTCCAGTTTCTAAGATTTAATGTATGTCTTGGAAGTCCTTGCTTTTCAGCTTCTTAAACCACTTCCATCCCAAAGTTGTATGTATTAAGCTAATCTGTATTAGACTGACCCTTAAGTATGAAACCAGAAGATGCTACTGTACATCAAGGGATCTATGACCTACTCATGCCACCTCTTAGCTCTTATACTAAGAAAAAAAAACTACCAGGATCATTTATAGTTCTTCACTACAGACTTCTTTAATTTTCTTTTTCAAAAGAAATGTTTTAAAGCTATACTCCAGAGTGAGTGACTTTTAAGGACAGCAAAGTTGTAAGGGTTTTATAAAATGATTATGGCGATTAACCCTAGTTATGTATCATTGTCTTCTATTTCAACAAATTAACAAATTATAGCATCTGTCCTTTTTATGAATCTGTTAAACCTTAAACAGATAAAGCTAAACTAAAAGTAGTCCATATTTTTGGCATGAAGCACTTTGTTATCAAAAATGCACATGAGTCCATTTTGAGGTATGTTTACCTTGAAATTACAAAAGAGCTGTTTCCTGCATTCTAAGTTATGTGCACTTTTGTGCCTAATCTTTTGTTAATAGTAAGCTTTTTTCCCTGGATGATATAATTTATATTCGTTTTGAGGTAGTTATATCTGTTGCATCTATTATCTGAACACTTTTACTTTGGTAAAATTTTTATAAATGACCTTACCTTAAACATCTTCAGAGGGCACTTCAGGGGTTAGAATTTCTTGAAGAGGCCACCATGTCTTGCCGTTCCATGTCCTGGATGAGTGACCTTCACAAGTGTCAGCTGCTGTTGCTAATTTTAAGAAACATGATACACGGGCCCTCCCTGGTGGCGCAGCGGGTTAAAGCACAGCAAGCGGGTTACAGCCGCTTCCACATGAGTTCGATTCCTGCCTGCCCCGGAGGTGACCACATGGTGTGGCAGACCTCTCCTGACCCGCCCACTGCTCCCCTCAGCAGTGTACTTCGTCGATCTGCCTGTTCTGTTCCCCACTCTGTCTCTGGTGAAGCCTCTCACCGCCCCTGAGCCTCTGGCCTGTACCCCAGTTCTGTATGCATAAATAAATAAATCTTTAAAAAAAAAAAAAAAAAAAAAAAACATGATACACTTGTACAGAAAATGAGGGAAGTTTGGGTCTTAAAAAGAGAAACATGATGTGTGGAATCTGGAGTTAGAGTCTCAGCCTTGGGGCCACCAGTTTCTCTGTATTGTGATCCCATAGTAGGTTACTGTCTTAATTTCTTATTTGTTTTCTTATACTTAAAGTACTAATCTCATTGTAGTATGTTGACTCTATTCTTTTTTTTTTTTTTTTTAAAGATTTATTTATTTGTACATACAGAACTGGGGTACAGGCCAGAGGCTCAGGGGCGGTGAGAGGATTCACCAGAGACAGTGGGGAGCAGAACAGGCAGATGATGAAGTACACTGCTGAGGGGAGCAGTGGGCGGGCCAGGAGAGGTCTGCCACGCCATGTGGTCACCTCCTGGGCAGGCGGGAATCGAACTCATGTGGAAGTGGCTTCAGCCTCTCAGTGCAGCGCTCTAACCCGCTGCGCCACCAGGGAGGGCCTGTTGACTCTATTCTTAAGAGAATAGCAGATCTGAGTGTGTCATCTTATAGAGAATTTCTTTCCTTAAGAGGGAATTCAGTCATAGTGGCTGACTATGGAAAACCATGCACAGGACCTCAGATTACTAAAAGTGGATCTACAAAATGAACAATGACTCTGCTCCTAGGAATCTACCCAAACCACACAAAAGGAAACCTGCACGTCTGCTTACAATAGTTAAGATACGGAAACAACCTAAATGAACAAAAATAGATGAATGGGTCAGGAAGATTTGGTACATGTATGTAGTGGAATATTACTCAGCAGTCAAAAAGAAATAAACTCATGCCATTCGTAGCAATGGGGCTGGAGGGGCCTCTGCTCAGTGATATAAGCCAGAAGGAAACAAACATTCGGATGATTTCACTAGAGGAAGAATATAGGGAAACCAAACAAAGGATTAAAAAAGACAAAACTTGCAGAGAAACTATAGATCTGAGGCATACAGCAAAGGAGGGGAGGGAAGAGGGGAAGAGAGGGGTCAAAACTGGGAGGGATGGCCACAAGGGATTATGGTGATGGCTCAGGCTTGGTGTGGTGATGGGAGATACATTGGGACTACAACTAATGGCAGAAGCCAAAATATAAGAAAAGAATGAAGTCTAATCAATAAAAATAAAAAGGAGGCAGCTGATTTCTTATGAAAGAGACTAGAGTTAGACTCAGGTGACCAGGACTTGTCTACACCCTGTGGGTGGCTACATCCTCTAGCAGGTCACCTCTCTTTCTGGGTTCCTCATCTATAAACCTGGGGTGTCACCCTACATTATTTCTGTGATGCCCGCCAGTTGTTTAGAATCTCTAGCCCTCAACACACTTTTTCAAATACTTGGTAGGTTTTTTCTGAGAGTTAAGAATGATGGAGGGGGTGAAAACAAACTAATGGTAGGGTTTTCTGTTGTATTTTCTCTATTAAATAAAGAAATCTTAGACAGTGACATTTCTGTCTTTGAACACATTAACAGATTTACTGAGAACTTAGCTGGGGTGGGGATGACATTGCCTGTTGTTTCGTAAATTAAAAATAGAAAAATAAGGTTACTGTTCTTGGGTAAGTTGAAAATGCCTTAGGAGTGTAATTACTTGTAACTGTTCCATGGACTCTTTCTGTATTTGGTTCCCCGACCCCCCCCCCCACTTTGTTTTCAACACTATACTTAAACATTCTTCATTTTCTGTGAAAAACAAACCTAGCTTTAAAAGCTTTTATCCACTTATTCTGTTCAACAGAGTTTCTTTATCTCCCTTCACATACATCTCATTGGGGAAATTCTTAGAAGAATGTTCTTCATCCGTGCTGTTGCTACATTTAAGTGCAGCTGCAAATTAACTGTATGTGTTCACTGATGCTGCAAGCAGTGTCCCTAGTAATTATGGCCTGAGAAATAGTGGTTGTGTGAAGGAAGATAACTCATTCAGATATGTTTTTTGTTAAGTCCATGGGTTTGGTGAGTTAAATATTAATGGATTGTTCAGTAATTAATGGTGTGTTCATTAATATGTCACAGTAGAGAATCGGTTTTGTGTTCCAAATGTAAACTTCTTTGTGCTTTAATGAGATGACTTAGGACTAGCCCTGCATTTTCCATGATGTTGGGGACAATTTTCCATTGAGATTCCTAGTATACTTTTAAGTGTAAAGTCTCATTTTTTTTGTTTGTATAATTTTACAGGAAATTATTAGTTCTTTGCCTAACCTAGTAAGCGACAAGTATGGAAAGAAGGTCCTATTGTACTTACTAAGTCCCAGAGACCCAGCACATACAGTACGAGAAATCATAGAAGTTCTGCAGAAGGGCGATGGAAATGCACACAGGTAAGGAGTAGAATGATAGCTTGAGACCTTCCTCTGCTCTGTTGATTACTAATTTGAGAAACAACATGCTTCCGGAAATCTACTCAAACATGCACACCCTCTCTTATGCATCCTCCATTCTGTCTGAATTTCAAAAGTGAATCTCATTTTTTAAGCCTCAAGTTTTTATTTTGAAATGAAAATAAGAGCTCCAAGCCAAAAGAAAGTCTCTGAGTGCCTGGCACTCTGAGTATAGCAGGTTTTGCTTTGTGTTTTTTTTTTTTTTTTTTTTTTTAAAGATTTATTTATTTGTGCATACAGAACTGGGGTACAGGCCAGAGGCTCAGGGGCGGCGAGAGGCTTCACCAGAGACAGAGTGGGGAACAGAACAGGCAGATCGACGAAGTACACTGCTGAGGGGAGCAGCGGGCGGGCCAGGAGAGGTCTGCCACACCATGTGGTCACCTCCAGGGCAGGCGGGAATCGAACTCATGCAGAAGCGGCTTTAGATTCTCAGTGCTGTGCTTTAACCCGCTGCGCCACCAGGGAGGGCCGGTTTTGCTTTGTTTTTAAAGGTTCTGGTGCCATTAGTTCTCTGGAGTAAAGTCCACTAAGTGTAAACCTGTGCTGTATTGTAATCTGTTAATTGTTTGGAATAATCATTTGGATTGCTGTGATTTTTACATGAGGCAGGCTTCAGTTACTGAGTGCTGGCCCTGTGCCAGGCACCGCGGGGACCCAGAGGACACAAAGAGATGGTAGCTAGCCCTCTCGGCTTGCTTATCATCTGCAAACACAGTAGAAGGACAGTTACAGTAGAGAGTGACACAGTTTGTTATAAACTCTTAGAGGTTTTTGTGACAAAATTGCTAGATTTCCTTTAATACTTCATTTGCTATTCTAACAGTAAGAAAGATACAGACATTCGCCGACGAGAACTCTTAGAATCCATTTCTCCGGCTTTGTTAAGCTATCTGCAAGGACATGCTAAAGAGGTGGTGTTAGATAAGTCTGTTTGTGTGCTGGTGTCTGTTATTCTGGGAGCTGCCATTGGAGACGTTCAGCCTGCCATGAATGCCATCGCCAGTTTAGCAGCAACAGAGCTACATCCTGGTGGCAAGGATGGTGAGGTAATGTGCTGTGATAAGACAGGCCGCCATAGACTGGAAACTGCAATCACTAAGAATATTATAATTACCTCAACTTACCAGTAATTACCAATGCATTTGAAAATTGTGAATTCATACATGCAACAGTCTTCCTCAGACATTTGACTACATAGTTCTCAGAGTAAAAATGAAATCTCAGTGTGGCTCTCCATTGTTCATGATTGCCTTAAGGTTGTCTTTCCAGTGTATTCTGTTGTCTTAATTCTGCTTTGACATTGCTGTGGACTTCACTACTTCTGTATCTCTCTGCATTAGTATTTTTTCACTCAGCCTTGAATGCTGCCCATGTCTCCATTTTCCTGTGTTCTCCATTTAGACAACTTACTTGTCCTTCAGTGTCCCCAGTTGTTCCATGAAGACTTTTCCTATTTCTCTCATAAAAAATAATTTCCTCTTTCTGATGGCTCCTGCCTGTATTATTTCAGCCTCATGTTATTCTGCTTTGCATCTTAAGTTCATTGGTTCATGTACCTGGTACATGCTGACATTCTCCCTCTGTTTTTCCTCTCTTCCCTACCTAACCCCTCCTTGCAAAAAAAAAAAAAAAAAAAAAAAGCTTGCCATTGTAATGTACAGAACAGTTAAATAAATATTTACATAGTTTAATTTTGAGATAAATGCTGTGAAGAAAAACTACAAAGATTGTATAAAAATGGGAGCTACTCTATCCCAGGAAGGCTTCCATGATGCAACTGATACCGAAAGGATTAGTAGCTTAATGAAGAATGGTAGAAAAAAAGAGTCTAGGAAAAGGAAAAAGCCTGCAGCAGGAGAGAGCTCAGCAGGTTTGAGAACAGAAGGCCTGGCCTGGAGGGTTGGAAATCAGTGAACAAAGTAAAGGGGAGGGCAGAAGTCTTGCAGGTATTTTGTCCTGTACTACATTGTACACTCCTGACAAATGGGCATGTTTGGGGAGCCATGAACCCCTGTGCTCAAAAAGCAGATAATATTAACCATCAGGAAAGCAGCATAATGAAAGTTGTCTCTGAGAGAAGACTGACCCTACCATCCCCACTGCTTGCTGAGAACAGGGTCTAAGGACTCTAGGAAAAATTGCTGTAGCCCTTGAAAAAGGAGTGAGACTGAACTGAAAAGCTGCTTGGTTGGCTTCCTCATCAGAAACTGTTCCTGATGTGGTCATATGTATTCACACATCCAGTTAGCATGAGGTTTTACTGTTTATTCCGTACAGATTCTATATGTGCATTACAACTGTGCATTACAATCTGGTCGATGGTTTTAGCTTGATCTTAAGATGAACTTTGTGACATTACTGTTTGTACTGGGACTTGTGACGGCTCAGCCTGAACTGTTTTTCAGTGGTTGTATTATCTTGAGTAATCAGCTTTCTGTGAGCCTGGGGGTTTGGTCTAGATCCTTGGTTCCTCCAGGTACAATGGTCATTTTAAAGTAAGACCTCCTATGCCAACCTGTGGGACTTCAACTTGGCAGAATCCTTATCTGGTTGTGTAGAATGGATTTCAGGCCAAAGTGTGAATGAAAACAACTTTTTAAATTAATGCCTTCTTGACCCCTTATAGCTTCACGTTGCAGAACATCCTGCAGGACATCTAGTTCTGAAGTGGCTAATAGAGCAAGATAAAAAGATGGAAAAAAATGGGAGAAAAGGTAAGCTATGAAACTTGATCTTTTCCTGTGACTCTTTGTAATTTCAGTAATTCCTGGCATTCCTGAACTTTGTCAACCATTTAAGTTCAAGTAAAAGTTTGTTTTGTTTCAGACTGGTATGTGCAAATGAATAATTTGGTGATAATTGCAAATAATGCTTCTTTTCCATAAAAACTTAGGTGCTGGGATCCTTAAATTTACCTTCTATTCCCAATCCTGCTTCCCCGCCTCTCCTGTCCCTGTTACTTAGGGGTTCTAACCAGATTTAATAGGTGTTCTAGAATTTCCATTCTATTTCTTGAGTGTAGTGAGAGCAGAATAGGGGAGTCTGTTTATGAGGTTTATTACCCCAGTTAAAAGACACTGTTTCTCGTTTTTTTTTTTTTTTTGAAGGAAGGATAAGCAGAAAAAAATTATCCTCATCAGAATATTTTGAACTGGTACTTATTTAGCACTGATATACATGTTTCCAAAAACAAGTGAGTTATTGGAATGTCTTGATCTTTTCATAAATTTTATAGCTGCTTTTCAGAAACTCAGCTCTCACAAGGATACCATCATTTCTGTAATTCAAAAGTTGCATGCCATCCCCCTCAGTCCTGTCTTTGACCAGACCTTCTCTAACTAAATTTAAACTCCATCTGGTATTTTAGCAATGAGGAGATTTTTCCTCCTGTGAGTTAAGCAGTTTGAGCTTTCTATTACTATATCTGAACAAAGTGACAAACCATGAATTTATGTCCCCCAGCAAGTTCAAATGGTGAGTGAGGCAGTCATTATAGCAGTGTAAGCAGTCTTTTCTTGCTATCCCTTGAAAAATAGTCTTGAGACTCATTTTCACTGTAAATGTTTTGTGGAAGTCAAGTCTAGAATAAGTTGTGAGGGGAAAAAAAATTTAATTGAATCATCTTTTCATTATTAAAAAATGGGTGCATAATTGGCTGAGTTTCTATCAGAAAAGTTGACTGACTCAGCTGTTTAAAATCCAAAGAATTTTCTAGTGATTTTTCTCCTTATTTAATAAGCACTTACCGCCCTAAAATATACCTGTTTGGACCAGCTGTGTGTTTCAGTTTCATGTATCACTAAATGAATGCAATGGCTGTCTTAGTTACTGGTTGCTATATAATAGGTCACCTCAAATCTCAGTAATTTTCAAAACAGTCATTTGCTCAGTGTTTGTTGGAGCTTGTTCTACTTTACTCAGACACTTAGGGCTGCTTTGCTTAAAGTTAGAGTAGCCACTTTCCCAGTTGACACCAGCTGCTTCTTAATGAACTGGGGTACAGGCCAGAGGTGCAGGGGCATTGAAAAGATTCACCGGAGACACAATGGGGAGCAGAATAGGCAGATCTACTCAAATACACTGCTGAGGGGAGCAACGAGTGGGTCAGGAGAAATCTGCTACACCATGTGGGTCACCTGTCTGGTGGGAATCGAACTCGTGCTGAAGTGGCTTTAGTTTCATAGTGCTGTGCTTTAACTAGCTGCGCCACCAGGGAGGACCCAGTGGTCAGTTATTAAAAGAACAAAGTAGTTGCATAGTATTTACCTGACTTAGTCTCAGGAATTACACATAACCTCATTTTTTACTATGCTCTTGGTCAATTTAGTGACAAAGACCCATCTAGATACAGAGGGAAAAGGCATAGGTTCCCACCTCACCATGGTGGTACGGCTGTATTCCAGAAGAGTGTTCAGGACAGAGATACTGTTGTGGTCACCTATAGAAAACACCACCTACCTTACCGGTTGATCTCTTGTCTCCTTAGCATGTGTCCTTAGCATTGATCTCTTGTCTCCTTAGCTAAATAGCCATAGGCCTCTTTTGTCTTTTAAAAACTCCTTTATTTTGGGTATCTTCCAAAGAATTGCACATGCCACTTATCCAAGATATGTTTGTCTTTAAGAGATTGTCCATATTACTGTCTGTACTAAATCTAGCCTTCAAAATTTCTCCTTTATCGAAAAATAGTTTCACTTAGATGGCAGAGAGAATAGTATTATATGAGTACCTTGGAATCAGATGCACTATAATGACAAAAGAGGTGTGGCATTGTAGAAAGAAAGTGTGAGTTGAAACGACAATAGTCATTTGACCTCGAGTTCTATTCTTTGGCATCTTCTGAGTGAGCATTTTCCATGAGAGAAAATTTGAATTCAACCAAACACAGGGTGCAACTGTAAAACATTTACTTCCTGAGTAACTTTTTAGGTCATGGTTAAATCATTAAACATTACAAGAAATGCAAACATGATCAAGTGATGGTTTTATAAGAATTCATTATTTCTCTTGAAGCATTTACTACTAAATATGACTGAGGGTTTGGATCAGAGTTGAATGAACTAGTTGCATTAAAAATGTATTATATAGGCCCTCCATGGTGGCGCAGCGGGTTAAAGCACAGCACTTAGAATCTAAAGCCGCTTCCGCATGAGTCCGATTCCCACCTGCCCCGGAGGTGACCACATGGCGTGGCAGACCTCTCCTGACCCGCCCGCTGCTCCCCTTAGCAGTGTACTTCGTGGATCTGCCTGTTCTGCTCCCCACTCTGTCTCTGGTGAAGCCTCTCGCCGCCCCTGAGCCTCTGGCCTGTACCCCAGTTCTGTATGCACAAATAAATTAATCTTTTAAAAAAAATGTATTATATAAACACGAGCTGGAATTTTTGGAGCTAGAGATTGGACTAGAAGTATTTTAATTAACTTTATTTTTTTTAAAGATTTATTTATTTATTCATATAGAACTGGGGTATAGGCCAGAGATGCGAAGGGTGAGAGGATACACCAGAGACAGAGCAGGGAGCAGAACAGGCAGATCGACGAAGTACACTGCTGAGGGGAGCAGTGGGCGGGTCAGAAGAGGTCTGCCGCGCCATGTGGTCACCTCAGAGGCAGGCGGGAATCGAACTCATGCTGAAGTGGCTTAAGCTTCTTAGTGCTGTGCTTTAACCCGCTGCGCCACCAGGGAGGGCCTAATTAACTTTTTTTTTAAAGTATATTTGCAAATCCACGAATAGTAGTAGAGAAGGAGGTTGGGAGTTTAAATCACTGTATATTTTACAGGTTGTTTTGCAAAAACTCTCTTTGAGCATGTTGGCATGAAGAACCTGAAGTCCTGGGCCAGTGTAAATCGAGGTGCCATTATTCTTTCCAGGTATGTATGATGTGTGCCTTCGTCCACACAGGTTCCTCAGTCTGAATGCCTCTTCATACAAAAGAGACTTGTAATTCTTGTTCCCGTTAATTCAACCTCTGTTCCCATTAGTCCCATGTCACTTATGCTGTATACCAAATATTAGAAAACAAAGGCAACTCTTTCATTGTTTTTTTTGTTTTTCAACTGCCTTCTTTTGGGTGCCAAAGATCATTAAATTATAATATTCAAGGTATCATCATCATAGTTTAACCATATTTAAGATTTTGACCAAAATGAGTCCCTATGAAAACTGACACAGTTGTCACAGCTGTGACCGTGAGATTGACTTTACAGTAATTTCTTTTATTGTTTTCAGCCACTCTGAAAGTTTTAAAGAAAAATGTATTACTAAAATCTGCAATCAGATCATTTATTTCTAATTAAAATGATAGAAAACTGATGATTTGTGAATTGAGGAATATACTCTGGATGTAGTCATGTCCAGTTGTTTATAAGTCACTGAAATTTTTATGAAACCCCTACATTAAGGACATTTATTTAAAACAAACTTGTGTGTTTTGAAATCATTTTTTTTTCTCCAAAGTTTGAAAGCAAGGTATCACTCTTAGTTCAAACATCCTATGGTATTTTGCAAACAACATACCATATGATTTAATTTGTATTATTTATAAATGTATGTTTCTTCAGTATATAACTTGATTTGGTACACATGAACTCAAAAACACACATGCTCCATATGAGCATTCATTTCTGCAGGTATATTCACATCCAGACATGGGTAATTCAGGTCATTTAGTTCATTTTCCAGTTGATGTTAAACAGCCAGAATCCCTTAGCTGAAGTGTGACCTTTTCTGAATCAGATTGCTTCAGTAGGTATTAGAAGTGTTAACACTCTGGATACCTTGTGTTATATACTCAACTAAAAATTCCTTAGGAAAATAAAAGCTATGGAACAAAATTTGAGCAATGTCCTAAATTAATGTACATTGCACATCAATCTAAATCTCCTCTGGGTGGATTTCAAACCTATGGATGATAATATATAGGCTTTTTTTTATGGAATACTACTTAGAAATGGAAAAGAACACATGAAATTTGTGGTTCTGAAGGGAAGTTCAATTATTAGATAATCTGATAATTGATATAATTGTTTTTAGAATAGTGTCACATATTTGATATGTTTGGTAAAATTCACTGCTTGTTTGTATTTTACTGCAAACTGCTACAATTTTTAAATACTTTTTAAAAATAGCTGTGTGGTTACATTTTTACTCTTCTGTATGTGTATGCTTCACTCACCCCCTACCAATCTCCCTTGCCAATGTGATTTTGTATTTGTTAAACCAGCCTGGCATCCCTGGGGTAAAACCTACTTGGATGGGGACGTGATTATTTGAGTAGTTGCTGTGTCTGGTTTGCTATGAATTTTTGCATATGTGTGCATCAGGGACGTCAGTCTGTCATCCCTCATTTGGGCTGAAAGTTGGGGTAATGGTGGCCGCAGAATGTCTTGGAGGCTTTTCTATCCTTTTTGAATTTTTTGATGTGTTTGAATAGGATAGATATGATGTCCTCTTTGATGTTTTGGTAGAATTCACAAGCATTGTTTTGTTCTTAGGGAGACTTTATTTAAAGCTCTCAGCTTTTGTGATTGTGATTGGACTGTTTAAGCTTATGTTTCATGGTTCAGCCTTGAAAGGTAGTACCAACCTAAAAAAAAGTGTCTGTTTCTTCTACATTGTCCAATTTGTTTGCATGGAGATACTGGTAGTATATTCTTGTGATCCTTTGTGTTTTATTGTGATCCTTTGTGTTTCCATAGCATCTAGTTAATTTCACCTTTCCTTTCTGGTGCTATTTATTTGGGTTGTCGCTCTTCTTAGAAGCAAGCCTAAGTGTTTGTCACTTTTGTTTTCACAGAACTTGCTCAAGCTTTCACTGATCTTTTATATCAGTTTTGTTTTCTGTGTCCTTTTTTTTTAAAGCATTTATTTATGCATATAAGAACTGGGGTGTAGGCCACAGGTGTGGGGAGCGGTGAGAGGATTCTCCAGAGACAGATTGGGCAGCAAAACATGTGGATGTACTGAAATACTCTGCTGAGGGGAGCAGCAGGTGGGCAGAACAGGAGAAGTCTGCACCATGTGGATTAGCTCCCTGAAGGGGGCTTGGACTCAGAGTGACTGGAGATAGCTTGTTAGCACTGTGTCTTAACCCACTGAGCCACCAGGGAGGCCCCTGTATCCTTTATTTAATATTTAATCTTTATTCTTCTACAGATTATTGGATTTGTTCATCTTCTAGTTCCTTCAGCTGTTTAATTTCTACATGTTTTGATTTATTCTGGGATTCTTTTTGTGGTTAAGCTTTATACCATTGTGATCTGAAAAAATACTTGATAAAATTTTAGTTTTCAGACATTTTCTGAGACATGTTTTTTGTTCTAGTATATAATCTGTTCTTGAGAATGTTCCATGTGTACTTGAGAGGAATGTGTGTTCCTTTTTCTGGGAATGGAAATCTTTGTAAATGTCCATTAAATCTCTGGTTCAACACTCGATTTAAGGCCTTTATTTCGTTGGTAATTTTTTTTTTCCCCCTGCTGCCTTCCTTGGTTAATTTTCTGTCTCAATAATTATCTCTTTTTGTCAGTTATATGTTGAGGTCTCTAACAAAATAATTGTATTTTTGTCACTATGTTGTTTTATAATAGGTCTTAATAGTTGCTTTATATAATTAGGTCTCCTTGTGTTAGGTGCATAAATATTAATAATAGCTTAATATCTTTCTGATGAATTGTTGCCTTGATCATTATAAAGTGTCTATCTTTTCCCTGAGTACCCTTTTTTGGCTGAAAGTCTGTACCTGATAGGAAAATAATAATTCCTGCTTTTCTGTCTGCATTATTGGTTTCCAGCTCTTTACTCCAACCTTTAACTTAAGATTGTTTTTGCCATTTGGCTTTCGATGAGTTACCTGCTGAAAAATACAGGTGGCTGAAAAATTTTAACCCAGTCAGTTATTCTGTTCCTTTTAATGTGTGATGCCAGGCTATTCACATTTAGGGTCTCAGTTTTGTTGAGCAGTGGGCTTGTCACTGCCACCTCCTCTCTTCTCCCCCCTGGAAACTGTTCTGTGTTCCACTTGGCCTAACTTCCCACTTCTCCCTGCTCTGTTCTGCCATGGATTGTGACCTTTGAAACTTGATTCTCCTGTTGGCCAGGTCTGGGTCTGGTCCACGGGGCTTCTGCTCTGGGACTGATTGGGCCTGGCATTCAGGTGTCCCCAAGAGGGTACTTGTTCTGTCTCACAGCAGTGGCCATCATCTCACGCTGCCCTGCCTAGACACCTGGGCTGCAAGTGCTGCACACCCTGGCTACGCCCAAGGGCGTGGTGTGTTCTCTTACTCACCGATTCCGCCTTCTGCTTTGGGGCTCATGATCAAGTTGACCTGGCTAGCCCCCATCATTTAAATGGTAATAAATGAATAGATAGATAGATAATGAATAAGTAAGTAAATAAAATATAATAAAAAGATTGGTTTCACAAATTAGTGAACTTTTTATACTGTGACTACATAATAGATTTGTAGGTGATCTTAAGTGTTTTATGAAATTTAATATCTTGTTTAATTTTGCCTCTTTGCAGTCTTCTCCAGAGTTCTGAACAAGAAGTCGCAAACAAAGTCAAAGCTGGACTGAAAAGTTTGATTCCTACATTGGAAAAAAACAAAAACACCAGCAAAGGAATAGAAGCACTACTTGAAAAATTGACTGCATAAGTAAAAACAGTTAAGAATGAGATGGGATCACTTTCCTTGTTTTTTTCCATTTTCCTATGAATGCTCTATGTATGGGTTTCTTCTTTGTACAAGAGTATTTATAAAAAAAATTTTTAATGATCTTTAAAAAAAAAAAATCCCAGTCATCTTTGTCATTGAGTAGTATGCAAATCAAAATGTGAGGCAATAATGTGAAAGATTTAACAACTATGTGTGTTAGAACCAGCCATGTTTGAATTAGTTGCATGAATTGATTCAAGGGAGAAGGGAAGGCTTCATGGAGGGGATAGTGGAGAGGGCCTCAGAGAATGTATCAAAGAGCCATGGTGAACTTGGTGGAAACAGTGAGGTGGAAATTTTGAACTGACCTGCAGGAACTTTAGAACCTTGATGGCTGTAGGGAGGAAGAATCCATGCAATGATGTTAACTGTGTTCCTTACCACTTTACACCTTGTTTTTTATGCTGGATTTTGATTGAAAGTGATTTAATGAATTAGGGAATGAATTAGTGCTGATGAATTAGGGAATACAGTAGGCAGTAGTGTTAAGGTCAAGGTCACTGAAAAAAAACCTCCCACTTTGAATTTGGGCCTTTCAAGTGAATAGGACTGTCTCCATGGTAGTGGGATCCTGTAGGGTTTGGGCTACAGAGAAGAAGATAACAAAACTAGTAATAGTGCAGAAGCTTGAATTGAAGTGAGAGATAGGATTTTTTAATCTAAAACTGCTTGGCTTATAGCAGCAGTGCTTAGGAGGAAGAGGAGGTCAGTATAGCCCGGCCTGTGAATACCTGACACATTTTGACACCAAGCCTTGGTGACACCAAGTAACCTGCTGTAACAGGACACCCACTCAGACCTGTCACTGCAGTTGTGGCTGCTAGAGAATAGTTATGCCTCTATTGACCAGAATGTGGGATCCCAGGACCACTCCTAACACAAGCTGCCGGCACGCCACATGGTGCCATCTTCTGCTGGGTGCATTGGATTCTATTTAAAAAATGAGTGGGTGCCTTTAATTCCTTCATGGTGGGTCCCAGGCTCCAACCAGCACCAGTGCAAACACCTTCCCACCCCCAGCTGGTTTGAATGATGGAAAATGGGACAGCTGGGGCCTGGGGGTGGGTGAGGAGGTGAATGGGAAAGGTATGGTCAGCTCTTGCTTTTCATTTGATTAATACATTGTAAGTTTGCCTTTCTATATAAAGGGTCCATTCAGAAAGGGGGGGGGTGTCTCTGATAATTTTTTATCTTTGACAGTAAAAAGAAAGTAAAATAATATACAGGATTTGAAAAGTTAAAGCATGTAATAAAAGCAGCAATTTTTCCCCACCTAGTTTCCCCCATACTCCTGCCTTATCTCCCCAGAAGCAATTACTTTTCTGCTAGACTTTTAAATACCTAGTTTTGGGGTTTTGTTTCTGATATACCAGTTTTAGATATTTTCTTTTATCTTTCTATTATGGGAAAAGACATTAAGACATTTTTATCTCTACTTTTACCCACTTGTCTATCTTCCCACTAGAATTGTATTGTTGTGTTGTTTCTTTTTTGATATATCAGTGTTCAGAATTTATATGATTATGCGACATAAATTGTTAAATATTGAAGTAATGAACTGTCTTTACATTTCCCATACTATTTTATATTTCCTAGAATTAATAATACCTCATTTGTTTTCATTTGCTTCCTTTTCTCCATCCCTGATATTAATTCTAACTCATTTTTTTAAAGTCAAAATTGCTTAAACATTTTAACAAACACCATATTCCTCTTTTCTGCCTGACAGTGTTTTACTTGTGTCCTCCCTTTCCCCCATTGCGTGGGTATTCTGGCCGATACTGGCACTCACCTTGGTCAAACATGTGCTCAGATTTTAGCAAGCCCACCCACTATGCCCTGTGCCATGCCAACATTTCCCTTGTGTATCTTGTGCAAAAGAGCACTGGCTGGAACAAATCTTGGGGACCATCCCTAAGGTCGATAGTTTAGGTAGGGCTAGCAAACCAGTCTGGGCGATGAACTTAGAAAAGAATTGGTGCTCCTGAGAAAGGTTTCTTAGATCATAGACCCGCGAGAGGCCCCTTTCCTGCCAACTGACTGGTATGTACCCACCAGACATGAGAGCTTTTCAGCTAATCTGACAGCCACACGAGAAAGATGACAGGATGCTGAGGATGACTGAGTAAAAAGTGGGCAGAATTTGGAACCTCGATGATGAGCTGCTGAGTAAGTCAACTACTGTGCTACCTTAGTCCTGTACTTTTGGCTATGTGACAGAATACACTGATTCATCATCTAGTCCATCTTAAAAGTTTACTCCCCTGAGTTTCAGAAGATTGATTTTCACACTATGCAACACATCAAATCAGCTAATGTTTCTGCTTTCTCCTGGAGCACCCCCTCTCTGAGCGGACTTTGTGGGTGTTGCAAAGAACTGCAGTACAGACGTAATCCTAGCTGTTCCCTTCTTTTCTTCTGTGGAAAACCATTTCTCGAATCCTGTGCATTTTTTATTTTTGCCTAACACACGCTCCTAAATGGGTCACAGTAGAATCCTGAGAAAGTGTGACTATGTCGTTTAATTATGGAAGGCATTGGTCAACATTGTCTCTGACTTGCAGAAATGCTGTAGAAGGCTAGTTGCCTCCTTACTCTCAATCTTTAACATGTGGCCTTTGTTACAGGAGAAGGGGGCTTCTCTTAAGGGTTACAAGACTTTTTAATCCCCAGTCTGTTTATATTTCAGAATCATGTACCAGCTTATGTCATGTATGTTGAGTGTGCTGGCACTTGTTCAGCCATGTTAGTCAGAAAAGTGAAGCCCTTCCATTCTGGCAGGTATATTTATATTATTCTCTCATTTATTCCCAACCATTTTCCTTATTTCTCTTTGAAAGTACTGTTATAAAGATTCTCAATGTGGATGTATTCCCAAAAATTTTGTTGGCTTTTTGTTTTAATCCAGATATGAATGAGCTATTTCCACCACACTCTTTGCCAGCCTAGTTAAGTGTCCTTTTCTTGTTTCTTGAGTGAAATATCTGTGATGCCACAAGAGGTGTTGTATTTCATGTTTGTTTTACTTTGCTTGTCCCTCTTTTATTTTATTTTATTTTATTTATTATGCTGTCTGCTCTTTGCATTCAATTTGGTCTCTTTTGTTTGAGCTTTTGGAGAGAATTTGACTTAATAACAGACTTAAAACTGGTCAGAAAGCGAACAGACCTATTCACATCTGTCCTCACCATGTAGATGCTGCTGTTTCACTAGAGTCCTCCGGATGTCAGAATCTGTAGGCCTTTTATCTGGGGTCGTATTTGTGCTCCAAAAGAGAAATCCACCTACCAGCCTGTATTTTGTTGCTCAGCACGTAATGTGCAGATTTTGATTAACCTACCTGCTATCCACACAGTGCCTCCCCTCAAGCTCCCTTTCACCGGGGGCCCACTGGTCTGGAGAAACTGAATTAGCATGAGTCCACAAAATAAACTCAGTTCTTCTAACCAAGACTTGGAGTGCTAGTCAACCTGTTTTAACTAGGTTTCCCGTTTTCCAATCCAGACCTCATCCTAGCTTTTGCTAGTACCAAGCACTTTCTGATTCCTGGGATTAACTGGCTACCCTGCTTACACTTTGTGTTTAGCTTTCTCTGCCAGGCTAGTTTCCCCTTTGCTTCTTCTTCCAGATCTTTGTTGCTACTGTTTACTCACTGATGGCTTCGAACACATTTACTTTTTTCTTGTGAGTTAATACCATTTTTATTTGTAATAGAAACATACAAATGATTTTAACAGAACAGAAAATGCACCTGGAAAAATGAAGGGCTTTGGTGGGTTTTTTGTTTTTCTGTGGAAGGGCTTAGTGGACTTGATTATTTTCATTTTTAAAATCAGACTTTTTTCACCTTGTACCAGCACCAGAAGTTACCTAGAAGGAAGGACTTTGAGTTCCCTTTAAGTCTGCACTAATGTGCATTTGCATAATAGGATAAGGCCCCTTAGAGGAAATGCCTTGCCTTGCGTGTGCCCAAACTCTTTAGAATATGAGATTGCACTTCTGTTTCTATTTTCAGCGAAATTTTGAAAAGGTTACATCTTAATTATAGCAGATTAATCACTTAAGAGTATGTCTTGCAAAGATGAGGGGATGTGTGTATATTTAGAATAATGGTTGAGAGCACAAAGTCAAAAATAGCAGCATTTAATATTGAGCTGTGACAATCATAAACTTTCTATATTAAAACTAGATAACCAGACATGAAAATCTGCCACTTGAGCTCTTTTTCTCACCCTCAATGCTTGACCTAGGGAAACAAGTTTGTTGTTTTTCCTGTTATTGCATCCCCCTCAAAGTTGCATTGAAACCCTAATCCCCCATAACCCCAGAATGTGACTTAACTGGAGAAAGGACCTTGAAAGAGCTAGCTAAAGTCAATGGAGGTGTGGTCGTCCTAAGAGATTAGGATACACTTAATGAGAAGACCAGGTCAAGGCAGAAAAAATGGCCATCTACAAGCCAAGGAGAAAGGTCTCCATGTGAAACCAGCTCTGCTGACACCTTGATCTTAGGCTTCTAACCTCCACATCTGTGAGGAGACAAATTTCCATTTTTACGCCCTGCTGTGTGTGTTTGTAATGACAGCCCTAACAAACTGATAAACCACCTTTCCTTTTCTAATTTTAAAAACTTTACTACCAGAGTGCCTCAACTTCCTTAACCTTTTTTCCAGTTGAATTATTTTTAAGTGAGCAAGTCTTAACCAGGACAGATAGTCTTTTGTTTGAGTTTTGTGTCTTTCCTGGAGAGTAACTACATGGCCATTCTGCTCTGCGTTCCTCAGTGTGCAGATGGCCACTGTGTGGTGTGTATGCTTTCGTACCCAAAACTGCCGTGGAAGAGAACACTGACAGTTCCACCCCCGTATCTACAAAGGAGTGGCATTTGGGATCCTTCAGCCTGTTTTATCCAGTTTTTAAGTATGGATTTGTGCCCATTCTTGCACAGGTGTAGCTAATGA